TTGAATTTTCAATTTTGCATCGCAGCAGCAAGGCAAGTAATTTGCTGCGTTGACGTGCCTGGCGTGGCAGATGAGCAATGACCCGGCACCCATCTAAAAGAGCGAGCGAGCGAGAGACAGACTGAGCGAGAGTGAGATAGAGAGAACGTGCAACGTGCCTTGCGTCGTCTCGTTGCTCGTCGTGTCGATCAATTCGTTTTAATGCAAACAACTCATATAAATTCATGTTTCAAGTTGGCAGCAGACGGACACGTTCGTTCTTCATGGCAAGTGCAAGTCAAGCTAACCGACGCCAGATCGGCAGATTGAAGTGCCCTCAATGCCCAGATCCTGCACACACACACACACACACGCATACACACACACACACATACTCTCTCACCCCGTGTGTGTGCACTCGGGTCAGTCACTCAGTTGTTGGACCTCTCCAATTACCGCCGTGCCAAGTGTAAAGAAATTCATTAATTTAAGTGCCACACATTTGTTGCCCACTGTGCGGCTCCCTCTCCCCTCTCCACTTTCCACTCTCCTTTCTCCGCTATTCGCTGCCTGCTCCTTTGAGCCAAGATCTCTGGCTGAGTCAATGGGTGTGCGTGTAAATGCAATGCAAATGTAATAGCAGCATCTGTTTAACCTGGCCAATTACAACCTAGTCAGAGATGACAAGAAATAAATTATGCCATAACCCCTCGACCCAACCTCTGAGTTATGGGGCCAGCTGTAAATCTTCATGCGAACGAAGATTGCTATTCTGTTCAACGTTTACGAATATCGCTCATCGAGCAATTGAAAAAAGAAGTCCATTTCAAAGGAATAGCAAAGAAAACTTGAATTGAAGAATTGATCAAATAAATAGGAATTTTTTGATGTTACTTTATACCGATCAATTTCTTGCCTTCCAGATAGGTGAAGGGTTATTTTTCTTAACTAGTTATTTCGCCAGGCAGATAGATATTGTAGGATCATAAACACTAATCATGGTTCATTAGCACTGGACTTAAGATCAATCAACACTTATGATCGAATTGCTCGATAGAGTTCTCTAAATCCCTAAATAAATAAATCTGGGCTATGTTGGATGGTTTTGTCCGAAATTCCCACGGCTCATACTCGCTGCTCGTGTTGAGTCTCGGGCTGAGCGTTTAGCGTGTGGTGTGCAAACAATTTAACACACTCCAAAGTTACAGACGCAGTTCCTCGACTCTCGGACAATTCATCAAAGTGAACCAGCTAGCAGCAGCAGCAGCTAAACGACTTTGACAGGCAATGAAAAGCGGGCAGGGAAAGGGGTTACAAGCAAATACAACAACAACAAAAACAAATATTGTATGGATGGATGCTTAAAAAAAAAAAAAAGGAGCTGATGCATTAGGGGCGCGTGGCTGACTTAACGCCCTGTTTTGTGGATGTGTCTTGTGTTGTTTTCTATTTTTTATTCGCTATTTGGTATTTGGTATTTGGTCTTTGTTTGGTGTTTGGATGCTCACACTCAGCTGCTGCTGCGGGGGGTTGTGCCGAGGGTCGCATAATTAGCAGCCCTAATAGCCGATCTTTGTGTTACCTAACGTTCAATGTGTGTCTGCTGTTTTTTTTTCCTGTTACTCTGCCTCTATTTGACTTTAAAATTTTTTCCCATTTGCTTTTTTTCTTGTTTGTTTTTTTTTTTATGTGTGTGTGTGTGTGTGTGTGTGTGTGTGTGTGTGTGTGTGTTTTTTCGCTTAGTCAAGGCAGAGCAAAAAAGCAAATCAAATCATGTGACAAGTTTCTAATGAACCTCAAAAGGTGCCACGACCCGGTAGAGCGCTCTGACAACCCAGCGTCTGACATTTGTGTGGCCTATAAATGCTAATGAGCCCAACGTTTATTCTCATTCTGCCTATTTTTTTGTTGTTTTTGTTTTTTTTTTTGGTTTAGTACATTTTGCCCACGTTTTTTGCTGTTGTTGCAAGTTAATTTTTTTTATAGATTTTTATGGTGATTTTTTGGGTAATTTTTTGTGGGTCGTTTGGACGGTGCTCTTGTGGGACTACCATGGATGCTCTTGTCACTAGTTTGTAGTCAGTTACAGATTTGATTCGCCCTTGTGCTGCTGCCTTTGGGTAGTTCGGGTAGTTTCCTTCGCTCAGCGTTATGGTCACGAGCCGTTCTTTTTTTTCCCTCGAGGCCCAAAGCGGTCCAAGTTCATGTCAACCTCACTCCCTCTCCATCTCTCTCTCTCTCTCTCTTTCTTTGTGTCTATCCCACTCTCTCTCACACACACACATAGTTGGTCTTTGTCGCTGCATTTTGTTCCACTTGAGTTTGTTTGCTTAACGACCTTTGAAATTAGGCAAAACTAAGGGGCAATAGGCGTTAGATGGGCTCGCTCTGTGGACCCAATGCAGCAGCCCGTAGATTAGACACTGTCCGCAGACTCTGACAAAACGAGAGGAATAACAACAACAACAATAACAATTTATACTGTTTATATGCAAATTTGCAACCGTCTCGCAACTGTGTAACATTTGCTGGCCTAATTAAAATTGGGCTACCGTTTTTAATTAGACCAAATTCTGAAAGTGAAACAGGCATAAAAAATATATAATTTTAGAACTTGATTCGGTTTTATCAACGCTTTGATAGTACCACACATATAACTGTTATTCATTCATTATTCTCAACAATATTAATGGAGTTACATATTATCCAGCACCTTAAACAGAAAATCACTTAAGAATATAAGGAAATTAAATAAATCTGTGGTAAATCTGAGATAAATTAGGAATTTCCGTATTAAATATTATTTTTTATGATATCTGTATTATTATTATTATTATTTGTTCATCTCTATGTAAAATTCCCCTTAGAAATCAGACACTTCTACTCAGTCGTAACTCTTTCTTGACTGTTTTTTATATGGACCGTTTTGCATCATCTTCCACTCAGTTAGTTTCCAGAGTGCTGGATGAGTATCTACCTCATTGATTGTTTCACTAACTGATTTTGTAGCTGTCATGCACACACACACACATATATATATACATATATTTATTTATATATAAATATAAAATTTTTGCTGCTCCCTGCTCAGTCTCTGTCTGTCTTATGAAATGCCTGTCCATTATCTGATTTAGTGGCAGTCCTTTTATTTAGTGCCACGCCCTGCCTGGCAGGGCGCCCACAGTTTCCTATCGATTTCAGTCAGTTAACATGTGAAGGCGTTTTCAGTTGGTCTGCGTCGCCTTATAGCAAATTAGGGGCACAGACCCCAAACAACAACAGCAGCAGCAGCAGCAACAAAACTATGCCACAGCCAACAACAACAACTTGCCACAGCACAGCGACAACAAACAAACAAGTCGACAGCAACAGAGATAGCCAGCGTGTGTGTGTGTGTGTGTGTGTGAGAGAGAGCGAGAGAGAGAGAGACATACACACAAAGTCAGAAAGTCAACAGAAACCATAATTCAGATAATTTTATTTATAACACCCTTGAGGAATTATATTTTATTTACTCTTTCAAGTGTGATGATGAGGCCGCTGAGCCGAACCGAGTCGAGTTTGAGTTTGAGTTTGAGACCCGTACAAATGGACAAGACCGAGACCGATGCCAACCAAGGACCTGTCCCTTTGTGATTTTCCTCTCTCTCTCTCTCTCTCTCTCTCTCTCTCTGTGTGTACGTTTTGTGTACTATATGAAGTGTCTGGTCCTTTGTTGAGTCTATTGAGGGTTGGAACGGGGCTCGAGACACTCCTTCGATTTGGTAGCAGATGTGTTTATAAATTGTTGAAATCTGTGTGCATTTTAACATATGAATATCACGTACTATACATATACACATATAGTATCAGCTCAAGGGTTCGACACTGAGGTGGCGCTGCTGCTTGGGGACGGGGAAGTTTATTTTATTTATCTTCTTTTTTTTTCGCTTTTTTTTTTTTTGGTCTGCCGCATCATTGTCATCATTACTCGGAGCAGCTCAAATCAAAAAATCTTCACGTGCCTGATGTGCAATTCATTGAGTCTTTCGTTTCATTTTATTCCATTTCTACCAATATTCTTTTCTTCGTTTAGTTTCTCTCTCTATCTCTCTCTCTCTCTATCTCTCTCTCTCTCTCAGTCTCTGTCTTTCTCTGTCTGTCATTATCTTTAGTGGTTGCTACTAAGAGTTTGTTAAATGCTCGCCCCTACCGCGTGACAATTCTAATTGGCTAGCCAGCAAATTCTGCAATTAAATTTCACTTAAAACTGCAACTAAACACAGGCTCTAAGGCGACACAGAGATGTGTGTGGGTGGAGGGGTGGAGGAGTGGGTGTTGGGGGCGTCACTGAAATTGGGTATGGCGTTACATGTAATTTACTTCCGCAGAGGCGCTTTAAACATATCCGAGGCACCAGGCCCCAGCAACACCCACCACTTCCTAATTGTGAAAACCAATTTACGCTGCTATAAATTAGAAAGACAAACGACGGCAAAACGAGGAAAGGCAACAGAAATGGCAACAGCAACGGCAACGGCAACAGCACCGAAAGAGTCAGAGGCAGTGGCAGTGGCATAAGCGATGGGGGGCTGTAGGACTGCTGTAAACTGGGGGCGTGGCACATTGGCGTTCCCGGCTGGTTCCTGTTCCTGTGCGCTCTCCGTGTGCCGTGTGCCAGCCATGGTTAGCCGTTAGCATATCTTGGAAATTTACATAAATAGACTTTAATTGTTTGCAATTATAATGCGAGTCGAGCGCAAGCGAAACCCAAAAGGCATATTGCCACAGACAGCCAGCCAACGACCAGAAGCAATGCCTAAAACCCTACACCCAACTTAGCCATGTGTGTGTGTGTGTGTGTGTGTGTGTCTACACTCTACACACAACACGCTGCAACACCCGCAACCGCACCCAATGCGTCCCTTGCCTCTCCCTCCTCTGTTGCACGCCCTCGCGTTTTTCAGTTAATTATGCTGGCTTGTTTAAGCGATCCATTTTGCGATTTGCGACTAATGCCAACGACTTATCGACTTTTGCAGTCTCCTCTGCCTCCGCCCACGACGATGAGACGGCCAGCGAGAGCAGCGCCGCAACCGGAGCTGGAGCTGGAGCTGCAGCTGGAGCCGCTGCCAATCGTCGACGGAGCCGCACAAATTTCAACACCTGGCAGCTGGAGGAGCTGGAACGTGCCTTTGTCAGTAGCCACTATCCGGATGTGTATATGCGCGAGGCGCTGGCCATGCGTCTTGATCTGAAGGAGGGACGCATAGCGGTAAGTCGACAATACGACGATGATTATTCAAATCGATAACATTTATCGATTGACGAGTCGAACAATAGGCAAAGCGCACACTTATCGATAACTGATTCATGACAGACAATTGATAACTAGTAAAATCATTTAGTTCGTGCACCAAATTTCATACATATATCAAGCTTGCGCTAATTAATAAGTTATCGATATCCGATAACTAATGCTGAATACTGAATATGTATACATATATATATATACATACTGATTCATTTTTGCAAGCTTGTCTGCATTTCATAGTCCATACATAAATCAAAGACTTCCGCAATTATTTATTATGGATGTACTTGTATAGTACGGATATATATATATCCACGTATATGCATGGCATGGGCTGGTGTAGCATTTGCGTGCGCAATTGTAAAACAATTTGACAGCAACTGGAACTCAATTACTCAATAAAACCAATTACCTGACTATTTTTATTCATTATAATTCATTTTATTTCATTTGGAATTGCGTTTCGTGTCGCTTGTTGTTGTGATGATTTCAATTGCAACCAAGTCTTAACCCTTTTGCATGATGACGACGACGATTCCATATCCATATATAGCCATATAGCCGATAGTCAGGCATGTCAGACGTGTGATTATCGTCGTCGGCTTCTTTTGGCTGTGGGACATTCGTCTAGGCATTTGCCAGAAATTGTTTCTTGACATGACATATCAATTTGTCAATGCGAACAAGACGAGTCGAGACTGCGACAGACAGTCAGGCAGATTGTCAGACAGACGGACGGACGGATGGACGGACAGGTGAGCCAGCTGGCTGTTGGGTGGAGCGTTCAATGTCGGCTGGATGGGCTGGTATGGGGTGGTTTTACTATTCAGTTATGGGTTGAGGGTAAGGTTGGGGCAGTCGTTAAAGCGCCGACATCGTGAGCATCGCATGCAGCTACTCAAAAACAATTTGCTGCACATTAAAAAGTGTACAATGCATGCAAATGACCATGGGCGTGACCAGATATGCCAGAACAGCAGGGGGGCGCGACGAGGGGGTCGCACTTTGCATAAACGCAACGCGGTTTCGATTCAAATTGATGGAAAAAACTATAATTCGCTTACCCTCTTCGAGGCATTTTACAAAAAGGTGGCTACGCCCTTGCAACAGACTTTAAGTTGAAGTGACACACTCGCTTACACACACACACACACACACACACACACACACTAACGAAATGCGCTTGCGTTGCGCTTGAGTCGCTCGACAAACTGCCCCTCAATTAGGGACGCCATTTTGTTTACGACTCCGTCGTCTAACCCCATAAAAAAAACGAGTGCATATCGAAACTGAAACTGTGAATACTTGTGCACTCACCGACTGTGCGTCGGTACGTCAATCATAACCAAAATGAATAATAAAATTATTACGATAATTATTATTCACGATTATTACATGCTCAGCTCATAGACACCGACAGACAGTAATTGTCCCGTAATTCTTCGAATGACACTTGAAGGGTTGCGCCCCAAAAGTGCTCCTACTAATTGATCCAATTGCGTATATTAAAGTTAATCTATACATACTTAAAGTCCAAATTGCTATGGCCAAGCAAACCTTGACGGCTATCATTGCAAATGATTCCCAAGGGTTGTTTGTATTTTGTATTCATGCTTCCGTAATGTGCACTGATTATACGAAGTCATTTTTGATTTCTTAAATTATATAATGAATCGCAATTGAGTTGCTTCGCTTAGTTAATGCCAATTATCGGATTAGTATTCAATATATAATGAAATTCGTCTTTGCCTTTGTTGTTTATAGAATGTTATTTAATATCCTCGTCTTTGAATTGATTTAAATTGATCTTTCTGGACACACCAACTGCCAGTTGAAGCTCCAAAGATGTTTCTTCGAAAAAAACATATTCACAATTTGCTTCGAGCTGCCAGACTCGACGGCATTTTGGATACTCTATTTTTGTTTTTTATTCACATATTGCAACTAGATGGTCGCTTTTCAAATATTCTTGTAGGTTTGGTTTCAAAATCGTCGCGCCAAGTGGCGCAAGAGGGAGCACACGAAGAAGGGGCCGGGAAGGCCGGCGCACAATGCTCAGCCGCAGACTTGCAGCGGTGCACCGATTCCGCTGTTTGAGCTGCGTGCCAGGGAACGGTAAGTAGGCGTCATGTCCAGACAAGATTTCAGCTAACGAACAATACCCAAATCTTCTCGAGCAGCGCACAGCGCAGCAAACGGATTGCGAAGGCGATCGAGCGACAGGCGCACAAGTTGCGATTGAAGGGTGTCCAGGTGAATATGGATCAGCTGCGAGCCGATTATCTGGCAGCGCATGGGGATCTGAATCCGGATCAGGATTGGGAGCGGGTTCGGGATGAGCTCGACTATGCGCCGCTCGACGACGATGAGCTGCCCATCGATGTGGTTGGGGGCGTGGTGTGCAGCGACAGTTTGGACAACTCCCAATCGCACAGCTCCAATTTTGCCACAAACCAAAGAATCCTCAGCGATGTCAGCTGTGATGCAGATGCAGATGGAGATGGAGATGCAGATGGGCATGTTGATGTTGATGTTGATGCAGATGCTGTGATAAGAGTGGATCCACTGGAGCCACCAATTCTGGCCGTGCTGCCAAAGCAGAAACCACAATACAATTCATCCTTCAGCATTGAATCGCTGCTGGGCACATAACACTCCCTCAAAAGCAATAACGAACACAGAAACTATTTATTTTTTATAATCCATTATATGATAAGCTACCCATTAAGTGTGGAAAATATAGGGTATAATCAACTTGTGCAATTACATCTATCTATGCATGTTTATTTGAATGCCTAATGCCGAATTTGAGCTAACTATAAAAAAGAGAATTGAAATTGGTTTCCCTTGAGCCAAATATATATTTGTATAATCCGTTCAAAGTGCTCGCAACTAAATGTTGCACGTTGACTTTAACACTTTAAATCTGACATTTGTATTCTGATTATAGAAAATAGAATGAAAGTTAACAATGGACGAGAAACCGGACTGTTGACTGTTGTAGATGATCAGGCATTTACAGAAAGACTACATTATTATGTACATATATATATATATATATATATATATATATATAATGTTTCCGTTGAAAAGTGCCAAATTGCATGTCTCTGACTTTTGACACCGACTTGGGACAGGAACTGGATGGGGGTAAGCGGTTTGGGAATGGGAACAGGAAAGGAAGAGCGGATCGGAGTGTGTTGCAACTAGTTGCAATGTTTTCTGAATACGAGTGTGACTGTGAGTCGGTGTGTGAATGCGAATGCGAATGCGAATTTGAGTGTGCATTTTAATTCTCAGCAAAGTGCCCGGCGGCTGTGTGTGGTGCACACTGTAAGCGGACAACAGCAGCAGCAGCAGCATCAGCATCAGCCGGCGGAGAAGAGAAGGCGGAGGCAGTGCATCCATCAAGTTCACACGCAGCACGCAATGGGCCTGGACCTCAATCTGAACCCGTCGCTGGAAGCTGGACGACAGCAGTCCCGACCATGGGATGCATTGTGCAATTATCGCGTACAGCTTTCGATTTTCGATAATTGTTGTGAGGAACATCGATAAGTGTTCCCAAAAAGCGACTAATTTATTGCTGTGTGGGAGTGAAATTGTTTAGTTTAACTATTGTATTATTCTTAAAATCAAATCAATCAAAAATAAGAAGTAAAATGATATCGATAGCCATAATAATCTTTCTTGACTTCTTTCGTTTCTAAAATCAAATCAGAAAATGAAGTTTTATTTCAGCAGCTCGAAAATGAAACTTATGTTGACATATTTTGAGCAGAGATTAGTATCAATATCTAAATACAATCAATTAGTTGAGAAGATGTCCAGAGTAGTTGTGGTCATTATTATGAATTGCATTTACTTGGCATCTATTGTTTGGAACAACTAGCACCTCTACCAGGACCAGGACCAGGACAAGTAGCTGTCATGGATAATTAATGGAGATGGCAGTTAAGGTGTTCGGGTGTTCAGGTGTTCAGGTGTTTTGGTGTTAAGGGTCGAGGTTCTGCAACACGTGCGTTGTGGCGATAATGAATTGGATTTTCGCTGTGTCTCAATCGCATTTCGGCCATTGTGCGGGCAAGCAAACTGTATCTTACAGATACTTTCTGCAGAACGCATCATCAGGCAGCACCACGACCTGCATTGCCGAGAGGCAATTTTCGAAATGCAACGCGTCCGGAATCGGGACAAGAAGAACAGGCACCGTTGCGACCAGCTAGATGCGAGCAGCAGCGGGGGGGATAGCGGATCTGCGAGGCAGCACTGAGCACTGAGCACTGAGCAGTGAGCAGGGTTCGGGGCCACAAATGTAATATACACATCAGGCAAATAAATTAGAAGGCAACTCCTTCGAAGCAGAAGCAGCGTCAGGAGCGTCGCGCCCCCTCTCACTCTCTCTCTCTCTCTCTCTCTCCCTCCCTCTGTCTCTCTCTGCCTCTCGCTCTTGATCTTTCTCTCGCGCTCACACACATTGCCAGTCGTTCGTTCGTTCAAAATGGAGCCAGAGAGTAATGCCGACAATCCGTCATGCAGGTGTGAATGATTCATTAATTTCTCGCCTTCATACGAATTTTCAGTTAACATGCAAGCGGAACCAAAACGAGCCGCCGCAAAAGAGTTACGCAGGCAACAACAGCTACAACCACTCCAACTGCAACAACTCCGACTCTGACTCTGACTACAACAGCAACAGCAACTGCGACGCATGCCTGCCAGCCTTTGTGCCAGAATTGCCGAGTCTCTGAGTCTCTCAGCCTTAGTCTCAGTCTCAGTCTCATTCCCAGCTCCACCTTCGGCATCAGCTTCAGCTTCAGCTTAACGTCTTCATTACGCACGGCCAACGTTTCCGCTCCATTCCGTTTGCTGCCAGTTGCCAGTTGCCAGTTGCCAATTTCGTTTTGCATTTTCAATTTTGTGGCATATCCTTAGTCCAGCGGCGGCAGCAACAGCGGGTGGGCATAACTCCCTTCGCCCTCCCCCCCATTATTACCCTATCTCTTTCTCTCTCTGTCTCTCTCTCTCTCTCTGTATCTCTCTCCTTTTCTCTGACCTCCCTTTCCCCCGCTTGCGTTAATTACCTGATGAGCCCAAGGATCAAATGCCAATTTGCACCTTTTCCTCTTTGCTGCTCCCATTTTTTGTTGTTGTTTGGAATTCAATCAATACAACGCTTAAATAAATTTATATTCAATGCAGGCGTAATGAGTGCACCCATACACTCAGTGCACCCATTCACACTAATCAATCTACTCACGTTAAAGTATAAGTTAAATTGTATGAATTTATTATAAATGCACCGATGAATATGAATCTTATATTCATCTATATATATACAGAATTATACATATGACAATATTTAAACAGATACTCAAATATAAATCGAGTATATTCAAATTAACTTTATTAAACTCTGTCATAGCCCTACTCACAGATTAATTCAAATGTTTATGAATATGTATTGAGTATGAATACTTATTTAAATACACAAACATGGCATGATGGGCACTCGTGAATACACTCAATGATTGTAATAGTGTTTACTAACGGCGTCGATAACACTCACACCCACACCCACAAGTATGTATGAATATATTCACTTTAAATAATTTAATAGTAGATTTTTATTTGGTATTTATGAGACACTCATACCGACTCATTCAAATGCCATTCCGTCTGTTATTCATACTCAAATCTCACACAATTCGTTGTTCACACGGATTCCGTTTGAGTTTCGAATCCCAAACCAAAACCGTATCCCCAATCCAAAATCCGATTGGAGTCCAAAATGAGCCACAACTTTAGCTCGTAAAATGCGCTGAATGATTTTTGGCTGCTGCTTGAGTGTTTTAACCTGTTGTTGCTGTTGCTGTTGTTGTTGTTGTTGCCGCTTAAGACAACAACAATTCATATTTTTTATTACACCTACTTTGAGCCTGTTTGGTAGATCCGCTTGAGCCCAGCCCGGACAGCGACTCGTAGTCGCTTGGCACAGAAAAGGTAGGCGTTAACCAACTTTAATACATTTATTTGGGCCACAAAAACAATATAAACAACTAAACATGCACACCAGACAAACTGATCAACCCACAGATACCCTGGCTCATCTGTTCGTTGCAAAACTATCCGAATTTACTATGAAAATGTTTACTACAAACTTGGCTTACAATATATATTTCGAAGGACTCTTTGCATGCTTTGGCTAACCAGGTTCGACGGATGTGGACACCTACAAGCCGAACCCAAGAGTGAGCTGATTTTAGCCAACAACTTGTTTTCAGTTTGCAGTGCCGCTAGCATTTTGTAAATTGTACAGGGTATACATAAAGCCAGTCAGTCAAAAGTCAGGTCACAAACGCAGGATGAGGCGCAGGCGCAAGAGGCAAGAGGCAAGGGGCAAGGGGCAAGGAGCGAGAGGCAACGCGCAGTCGAGGTTGCCATATCTGTCCAAAGTAATAATTATGTTTCACGTTGTTATCCTAATTTACGTGCTGGGGCTGCCCAAACCAAAACCAAGACCCAAACCCAAGCCCAAACCCAAACCCGAGCACCGATCTGCAAGTTGGTTGAGGTCGACTTGACGACAACGGAGCATGGATCGAGCCTAACTCTCTGCCTGGCTGACTAACTGACTGGCTGACTGCTTGGCTGCCTGGCTGGCTGACTAGTTGCCTCCAGGCGCTGTGCAGCTCCTCGTTTCGCAGCGGCGCATTTCACTGGAAAAAGTATTAAGCGCAAAGCGAGATACTGAAAATTGATTTCTCACCTTCGTGCACGTTATGAGCAGCCGGCCTGTCCAAGCTGTCTGATCCTTTACCCCCACCACCACCACCCCCCTCCCTCTCCTCCCACAACCACCGTCCATTTGCAGTACCTGTGTGTAGCCGTGCTTTATAATTAATTAATATATATATATCGCCGGTCGTCGGTCACTCCTCCTCCTCCGAAGAACTCATGGAGTCATCGAGTCGTGATCCCTAGCAAAATACATATTTATATATACACCATATATATATATGTATATATACAAATGTATAGATGTATTTCAATAAGGCTGGTGCGCATTGTTTGGCGTAACCCCAGCCTAGAATGTGCCTAGACTGCATGTCTCTGTGCCCCATTTTCCCATCGCTGTGCCCCTTGCTGCTTGCTGCAGCTGCATAACTTTGCCAGCACAATCGTAAATAAGCATTTTATCTGTGAATTTATTGCATCATCGGTAGACTTTTCAATTCGCCAGACAGATGAACAGACAGACAGACAGACAGACTCCGAAAGTCAAACGTTTAGACGAAGAGCCTCCTTAAGCACCTGTTGCATCTCAATGGGAAATTTATATGTCATTTTTCTTTTGGGCCATTTGTCGTGGCTTTTAATTTGCTTTCAAAACGCAGCTTAACTTCACATTTTCAATGCTTTTCTTCGCCCCATTGCTCTACCAATCACAGTCATCTTGGAGCCTCATGACTCGGTCAAGAGCTTTGCTCCGATTTCTTACTCTATTTCAAAATGGACACAGATAAAGCCACAATAATTAAGAACCTGGTTCTTTATAAGCTTAAGCATTTAAAATTAATTTTTATAAATGTATATATAATATATATATAATTTTTTTCATCTGCCTATCTAATTATTTAGTTCTTAAATTTGTCTATATATATATATATATATATATATATATTTATATGATTTTACTTGTAGTCTATTGTCTTTTATTTAGTCTTTTTGTGTAGCTATTTATTTATTTATATATTGCATCAATATTATTTATATTTATTGCATCTTTAAGTCCATTGGAATGTTTAGCATGATGATTATCTCGATATTCTAACTTATACATATTTTGATAGTTATCTCTCTTTCTCTCTCTCTCTCGCTCTCTCTATCTGTCTCTCTCTCTTTCTTTTAGATAGTGTATTTATTATGCTGAATTTGTCTGTAGCATATTTGTTGCCTCAGCTTGTTTTTCGTTTCTTTTGTTAACTTTTGTGAATAGAGTTGACGCTTCCCGTTTATTTAGCCAGCATCTATTAAAAGAATGTCATATGCGTTGTGGGGCGGGGAGTGGCTGGAGGGGAGAGAGCTCCTTTTTTTTTATGTATGGGTATGGCATATACAAATTTGTATGATATGATTTTTATAGACTTCAAATCGATTTTTTTACGATCATCGCTGGGTTTTTATGTGCTCGCTGCTGCTTTATGTGACGGCTGGCGGCAGGGGGGCCAATCGCGTTTGGGGCGGGGAGTGTGGGGCTCCAATTATGTAATTAGGTGTTGAGGCAAACAATATGCGAAGATATTCAAATATTTATGTTGCTGCTTGCTGCTGCTTGCTGCTTGCTGCTGCTTGCTCTTGATGTGTGGAACACCGTTAGACGGAGGAAACCTTTTGGTCTTATCGCTGCGCGGGCATCGCCACTGGCGGCGACAGCAAGAGCTTACCCAAGAGCGCCATATGCTGGCAAAAAATAAACAAAATCGAACAAAAAAAAGCACAAAAAACAATACAAATAAGAAATAAAAAATAAAGGCGAAGCCAATATCCGGCCCAAAAGTCGGACCAAAACTGATCAGGAGCGGGTGACGCCTCTGCCGAGTTGCAGTCGCCGTCGCAGTCGCCGCTGTTGCCTGCCACCTGTTGCACGCTTTTCTATTCGCGGGCAACATTTGTTTTCTTGTACTTAATGGCTTTACTCTATACTCTCACATATCTGGCATATCTTAGCTTTATCACCAGATACGCGAAATCCCCAAAAAATTAATGTAATCCAAAAAAAAAAAGAAATAAATACTTAATAATAAATATTAATTATAAATAACGGAATCAAAATGATAGTTTTGTCTTATCGTTTTATACATAAGTCTAAAGTTAACTTTTTTTTTAATGTTATATTCTAATATAATCTGATTTCTACACCAGTATATATTATATATAGCACTACCAGAATATCTGCTGTTGTCAGCGTAAGATCAGAGTTGGGCATATCACACATCTGAAAGGGTATTAAAGCTTCGCCAACGCAAATCTTATTAATATTTTTATTTCTTTTTCAATTTTTTTCAACTTGCCAAAGTTGAAATAATTTTTTTTGCGGCAATGTTGAGGTTGCAACCTCCACATGGCCAAAACGTCATGAGCGTTGTTGATTAATAAAGCGAGCAACGGCAACAGCTGTGGCCGCAGCAGCAACAGCCTGGCCAATTTCTGGCTGCAGGATGCAACGTGCAACCTGAGGCAACAACACAATCGAAACAGCAGCAAAATAGGTGTTCTCGACATTTTAGTTTATTGGCTATATTTATATATATATATATGTATAATATAATCTAGGGCTAAGTCAATGTTTAGTATTCAATATAATAGCTATATACATGTTGCAAGCCTTGGATGCCTCAGCATTTGGCTGCCTCACGGCTTGTTGAGCGCACTAGCAAATGGCGCCGCTCGGGCCGTGTGCAGCTGATGAAAGGCACAGGCGGTCCTACAGCCCCGGCTGCAGAAGATGCGATCCGCACACATTGACCGGGCCAGGCTCCACTCGGCAACGACAAGGACGCGACAATAGTCATGGCACATAAAGCAATCCGGCCGTGTGTGGCAGAGTCCTGGCAATGTTGGCTGCAGCAACGCTTGGTGATAGCACTTTTGTCGGCACTGCCAGATGCGCAATTGTTCCGCCAACGGCAACGGCTCCTTGATAACAGTAACTCTTTGGGTGACGGTGACTGTGGCGCCCAGCGCACTGCCAGCGGCAATAATCAGGAGCGCAACAAGCAGCGCTGTTGCTGATGCGTTGAGCTGTTGCAAAGACATGGCTTGACTGGTTGACGTTGCCTTGGCTTCTAAATGCATCTGGTCGACGTTCTCCTCGTTTTATATCTCGTTGCGTTCATTCAACAAACGCCGGGAAAATCCCATCCCATCCCATCCCATCCCAGTACCTGAGCAAAAAATCCATATAACATATATATCTAATACCTAAGTGATGGGCTTTATTTCAGTTCACTACCTGTGGATAAAGCCATTGCTGCTGCCGCTGCTCAGGTAATTAAAAAAAAACACATGTGCGCAATAAGGCCTTTGAGCCGCTAATATATATATATGTATATATATACATATATAGATATAATTCATGAATGGCGCACAGCGCTGGAAAACCCCTGGAAATTCAGCTCATTGAAGCTGCAGCGACGACGGCTCGCGTTTTTTGAAAAGGTCTTCAAAATGTTGAATGAAATTCTGACTTTAGATCATTTTTGGCGAAGATATAACAGTTTGAATTTGAATTGGAATTCTTTAAAAAATAATAACTTAAAACATAGATTTTTCGATACCATTTCAAAATTAAGTATTTTCAGCTTTTGATGCATAGTTAAAATATTGAAAAAAAACTTCATAATGTTCAAAAAAATTTGGACTTTGAATAATTTATAATATAACATATAATATAACAGTTGGAATTTGAATTGGAATTCTTCGATTCTATTCGATTTTATTCCAAAATTAAGTATTTTCAGCTTCTGGTGCATAATTAATATATTTTAAAAGGACTTCATAATGTCGAAAGAAATTCGGACTGTTTATAATTATTGACGAAAAAATAAGTTTGAATTTGAATTTTTCCAAACAAAAACTTAATCCGTGAATTTCTCGATCTTTTTTTTTTAAATTACGTATTTTCAACTTTAAAAGAAAAAAATAAATAAACAGTTAAAAATGTATAAACATAAAGCACCAGTCATGAAATACAGACGAACAGTCAAAAGGAGGATGGGGTTTATTTTTTGACATTTGATTGCAGTTGACACCATCCAGAAAGAGAGGCAGGAAGCGAAGGATTGAGAAGGACATATTATATTATATATATGAACGTATTTCTTCTATATGTTATAATATATGTACATATGTCAAAGACCAAGAATAATTCAGGAAACAACTGGGAAGTCTATGAAATTGTAGAGTATGAAATTCTTATAACTTCTTATATATATATACAGAGAAAAAACCAAGTAGGAGCTTGTTAAAACTCCTATATACATATATGATATACATATATATAAATATATTTATATATATATATATATATAACACAAGCAAAGAAAACCAATTGGGATTAAAAGCTGGATCGTAATTTATTTTACACTTGATTAAGCTATGTGAAAAAAAATTATACGTATATAGAAACTAGGAAGATCTTAGAATTTACGACGCTTGAGCAGCTCCGGCCGCCAGTTGATCGGATGCGTCTCCTCGCTGGCCTCATCATCCTCCTTGTACACCTTAATGGTTTTGTCCGCCTCGGCAGTGATGAGACGTGTGCCCGATTGATCGAAGCACATGGCAAAAATGCCCGCCTCGCTGTCCATGGAGCCGGGCTGGACAGGCGCCTGGAAGCGCTGAAAATTGTAGCCAGTGCGCCAATCCCAAAAGAACATGGTGCCGTTGTCGCCGCCAGAGACAAGCACACCATCCGTATTGGCCGCCATGCAGTTGACAATGGCCGTGTGGCCCGAAATGTTCTGCACAAAGTTGCCCTCGGGACAGCGCCACTGTTTGATGTTGTCCGGCGATGCGGACGCGAACATGTACAGCGATGGATGCAGAACGATGCTGCGCACCGACTTCTTGTGATTGGTTAGCGTGCAAACGCTCTTGCCGGCAGCCAGATCCCACAGACGAACGGTGGAGTCATGCGAACCGGTTATAATCTGTGGATTGGTTGCCTGCGCCACAACACTGGCCACGGTGTTCGTGTGGCCCGTCAATGTGTGGACGTTCGCCTTGGTTCGCATGTCCCAGATGCGTGCCGTCGAATCGCGTCCAGAGGTGGCCAGTACATCGATGGTCGGATGCAGTGCCAGTGAGTAGACGGCGGACAGATGGCCATGATAATGTCGTATGACCTTGTTGTATTCGAGATCCCAGCATTTCACCTGACGATCCTCGCCACAACTGAACAGATACGGATGCTTGGCACTGACAGCAACACCGCGCACGGTGCTCACATGGCCGGTCAGCGATAGCTTTAATTTGCCGCTGGCCAAATCCCAAATCTTGATGACACGATCGCCGGCGCCGGTGGCAAACCATTCGTTGCCCGGTTCAACGGCAATGCAGCGTACCCAGCCCAAATGGCCAGAGATGACGCGCGATAGCTTCCATGGTGCATGCCACTTGGGCTTCGGTATCGTTGGTGCCTTCTTTGGTATCAGCTGCACATTGCTGGCACCACTGCCGACGCCGCCGCCAACGCCACCATTGCTGTTGTTGGGCATCGAGGCGCGCACCAGCGAAGTGCTGTTATTGAGACCGGCCTTCTCGCGATTGTAACGCACCAAATTGCCACCAGCTTCCATGGCGGATATGCTGGCCAAGGCGGCGGGGTTGCCATCTGTGATGGCCAGCATCTTGTCACCGGCCAGCTTTTTGGCGTCCATTGATTTGATGGCGCGATCAAGCACCAAGCCATATGTGTCTCGCGCTTTAATCGAGCGCCTCAGTTTCTCGCTGCGAATACCAATATCATTTAATAATACAAATAAGTGGATCTGTGCAAATTGAAACTTACAGACGCTCATCGATGTCCGGCAAGTTGCCCTGGTTCGACACAAACAGGTCGTGTGTACGCTTCAGCGAGCGAAAAATAAGCGTGTGCACGCTATGCTTCTGCACATCTTCCATAATTATTAATTTGTGTGTGTGTCAGTCAGTCAATATAATCGTTTATTTTATCAACAAACAAAAGTGTCCAAAATAAACGCGACTTCGGCCTTATCGTACAATTTGCCATTCACCGTTTGAAAAAATTGACATTCACACAAAAAGTATCGATACCTATACCGATTGGGGGCGAACAAAACAAATAAGTCGATACCTTTAGGCACTTTCCATTACTTTTCAAGCCAAACCGAACATGAAATCTTTTGTTAGATTTGTTCCACTTGCGGCTCACATGCCAATTGAGCAAAATGAATGATTCAAATTTTGTCGGTTACTTGACAAAAATGTGGCGGCAGACTGGCAAGCGACGCCGTGCATAAATTGATCAATTTATCGAGTTATTCGATTTGTAAAATTCCCCAAGATAATTATTTAATTGAGATGCACATTTGATGCTGCCCTTATTATTATTATTATTACTATCCCCAGCTGAAGAAGCCCTGATGCACACAGCTCTATGAATTATAATAAATTTCTGAAACAAATAGGTTTTTTTGTTTTGTTTTGTTTATTTTTAGTTAGCGGGAACCGGCGATCCTGAAGCTGCATTACTCGATGAGAGAGATGAGGACGATGGCGACACGGATGCCGACGAAGAGCTGGCCGTGCCATGCGTATTTTCCAAAGCCGCCGAAGGTCTCGTGATGAAGAACTGTTTGATCTGCAATTAGAGAGAGAGAGAGAGAGATCCAAATGCTTTGTAGTACTAGGCACAAAACGATTCATGATTGCTGATTGCTAATTGCACTCTTACAATTCGTTTTATGTAGTTGCACGCAGTCTCGTTATCCGAACTGGAAACAACATTATCCACCCTGTATGGCGGCGAGACGGTAACTTCATTTAATATTTGTATGTTCTGTCCTTGCCACGACACTTCATGCGACTGCAATGTATAAAAATGCAACAAACAAACAAAACAAAGCACATGTTTTACAAGAATTGAAGTTAATTAGGATCAGAAAATGGCGAAAATGATTATTGCTAACTAACCCCAAGTTGTTTGGCTATCGCTCTATAGAGCTCTTGTGCTTCTGGACTGACATCGGCATTCTTTGACTTGAGATAATCCTGTCTTCTCTCTAATGTTTTGCGAAGACGCATTTTAACCTGCAAACATAAGAAACAGCAAAAGCGATATAAATACGTAAATTGTGACCCGTAGCAAAACCAAAGTGGTCTCCATTTAGAAATTATAGACAAATGAATACTGATCCAATATGATAATTGCTGAGCTGATATAATTTCCGAGAGAGAGACCACTGTAGTAGTTAGTAGTATATGGAAATACCTGTTCCAGGTTGAGCTTTTGGGGGTCATCAATGAAATTGCCATTGCATTCCTTGATTACCTGCACGTTACTGCATAGCGATAAGTTCATCACATAAACATCACTCAGATCCTCTGTCGTCTTCGAATGACATTCTGTTCGAACAAAAAACACAGAAAAGAAAGGGAAAGGGAAACGCAAGGCGGGCAAAGAATTTCGATAACGATGTAAGTTGACCAAGCAAAGGAGAATAAAAAAAATAAATGTCGAGAAATTTATATATATATATATATAATTATATAAAGCAAATGACAATAAAACAACTTTCACTTTGACAGATCAAGTCACTCATTGTTGTTGCTGTTGGTGTTTGCTCTTATTGTAGCGAACAGAGTTCAACTTGAATTGTGTGTTTTTTGTTTCGATTAAAAAAGGATACTCAATATAAGCATTTTTGTGTTATGATCGAATGCGAGCACCTCGCCCTCCACCTCCTCCTTGAAACAGTTCGTGCAGAGCACTGTGGAACCGATACTGAAGCAGTCGTTCACTGCATTTACAACGTCGACGGTGGCAGCGGTGGCCATTTTTAATTGTCGCTCTCGCTGCAACTCTTCTTTAGCAACAACTTCCGATGCGATATTATTGATAACAAACACACACGCACACACTCACACGAGATATATATATATATATATTTATATGTATATATATATATGTATAATTGAAGTCAATATGCCTGCAATGGATGCGTTGAATGCTTTTGTTGATGCTGCCGTCGTTGTCGTACGCTAGTGATGCGATTCGAGCCGATTGGCAATTGTTTACACAACAGGCTAGCGTATTTTGTAATTAATTGTCATGGAAAGTGCTAATGCCAATGCCTTTTGTTTATAGCCACATATGTTTTGCGCTCTCTGCTTCTGTTGTGTCGTATATGTGCTGTTGTTGCGCTTGTGTGTTGCACCAGTTCCTTGCCGCGGCTTATTCGCTTTCACATTCACGTTTCAGTGTCGGTTGTTGGAGTTGCCTTTGCCTCTGCCTGTTTTTTTTTCTTCTTTTTTACCGTCGTTTTGTTAGTTCGTGTACGTATTTTACGCGAGCTGCATACAATGTTGTTGCGTGAGTTGCCCAGTAATAATCGCTCAGCCAGTCCCGTAAGCAGATTATGCGGTTTAAATACGTATATTAGGGTTTTGTAATTGAGAAGTGTCAAAAAAAAATATGCTGCGTACGAAAAATTTATTGGTCAACACACGAAACAGCAGCCAAAAAGGAGGCCGAAAAGAAATCGCAGTGTTGCATTTGCACGCTTCCAGGGCTAAACAGCAAATGCGTTTAATTAAACGTGCATATCGATAAGCGACTAATGTCAGATATATGCCAACAGGGCTGCACAGCAAACGTGCATATCGATAAACGACTGCCGTCCGATAAATCATCTGCTTCGTGCTGCCAATTTTTGTAATTGACGCGTTTAGCATTTAGCGCTGAAAGAGGAGCTATCAAAAACAGAATAACATTTTTATTCAGAATAAATCAAAAATGATTGACAACGGCAAAACGCAGCAACAACTGCAGCAGCAGCTGCCACTCAGCAGGGTGCGCACAATCATGAAGAGCTCGATGGACACGGGCCTAATTACGAACGAGGTACTCTTCCTTATGACCAGATGTACGGAGCTATTCGTACAGCACTTCGCCCGGGAGGCGTACACAGCGTCTTTATCCAAGCGGAGTGGCGAAACACTCAAATATGAGCATTTGTCGCAGCTGGTTAACAAGAACAAATATCTGGAGTTTCTACTTCAAATTGTGCCCGAAAAGATACGCGTCAGCGAATTTCTAGAAATGTTGCGCCTCAATCGTTCCAGCGCCAGCGATGAAGACTATGAAACTGGCACCGAATCCGAGATGGAAGACGAATAGCAGCGCACCGTGCCCCAAAATATACATTAAGAAACTATCATAATTAGTAAAAAGAAAATAAATAAAACTAACCTTTACTTTAACTGGATGTAATTTAAATGCTTCTCATAGATTGTATCACTAAGCAGACAGTACTATGGAGACGTCAAATCGACAAAAAAAAGTGCATCAGGTTTTTTCTGAGTCTGAGCGCAATTGTGCGCATTTTGAGGTACGCATCCTTATTATCCTAGTATTTGCTGCTTAGTGATTCTATCCAACATCTGTCAATATAGTTTTCTTTGTGTAGTTTTAAACGAAATTAGTTTTAGAATTCAGTGTTCTGATTTCAAGCTCAAATTTAAAGCATTTTCAATAAATGTATCGAATTAATCAGTGGAACTAATTGATTCTTAACAAGTTTGTCCTGGAAAGTGGCTATATCAAAAGATGTATATATATTAATAACAATTGTCTTATAAATTGTATTTTATAGCGAGATGTAGTTATGAAATATGGTCTGTATTTGTTTTCTGATTTGAGGTCACCAGACAATTGCTGATCAAATCATTACAAACAAAATGCTGAAACACTTGAATCATTATCAATTATAAAGTATATGTATTTTATAAATCAATAGCAACATACATACATATACATATAGATTAGTAATAATTGTGTGGGTAAAAACAAAAAAAAAATGCATAATTATGTGAATTATGTGTGTTTTTAGATCTTGAGACTGACGCCGGGATAGCCACGGGCATTGAGACCGGTCACCTTGTAGGTGGTACCAGCTGGAGTGGGCTGTTCAAATTTGGCCGCTGTTGTCACATACAGTATATCCAGATTGGGTCCACCAAAGGCAGCCGAAGTGATCTGCTTGGTAGGCAGCTTAATCTCCAGCAGTACTTGACCAGTGCTGCAATGAGGAAATCGGAGTAATCGGATTAGCATTTGATTATTTATATATATTTATATTTTTGTGTGCTGTTGGGATACCTTGGGTTAACTTTGTAGATGGTGGCGCCATTGAATGTGGCCACATACAGATTGCCCTCGGTGTCAATGGTCATGCCATCGGGCAGTAGATGATCCTTGGGACTGGTCTTGCGCAAATTATAGATAACCTTCGGATTGCTGGCGACGCCCGTCTCAAAATTATAGTCATATGACTTAACCTCATAATCGGTGGTATCGATATAGTAGAACTTCTTGGCCTTCTCATCCCAGGCGAGACCATTGGAAATGCCCACATCGCTCTTCACCAGCGACACATTACCGCCGGCCTCCCACTTGTAGAGCTCGCCATGGCGATGCACAAACTCATCGCCAATGTAACGCATGGTGCCGGCAAAGAGGCGACCCTGTGGATCGGCCTTGGCATCATTGAAACGATTCTCCTCATATTCGGGCTGCACCGCGAACAGAGTGCGCACCACCTTGGCCACCGGCGACACACCGTCCCAGTTGACAATGACGACACGTCTGCCACAGCCGACGGCAAACTCATCCGTGCTGCCAGCGATGGGCAGCACAAATCCAGCCAGAGTTTCACCCTCAATCCTTGTCTTGTACATTTTGTTCTGCTTGTAATCGTAACGCATCAGGGAGCCAGCCTCCAGATCAACCATATACAGGCTCTGCCTGGCCACATCCCAATGCGGTCCTTCGCCCAGGCCAGCATACGAATCGGGTAATGGCTCCACCGTGTATGACATCTGCAAATAATTGATGAAAACTCAAAATAAGATTGAGTCGTCGATTTGGCCAATAATAATTAACAATTAACAAAATACCGTCGGATTGCTTAGCGCAAGCAAAATGATCAATGTGACTAACGATGATGCTAATTTTGGCAGCATCTCTTCCGATTTCTTTTTCTGAATCTGTTTTTGCTTCTGGGGAGTTCAACAGACCCGCTCGAGATATAACTGTGCACTGAAGCGCCGACGACGCCTCGAAGTGTTTTTTATTATTAGTCGGAAACTTTTTTTTTGTTGTTTCTTTCTTTACAAATCCCGACTGCAGTTGCTGCTGCTTCTATGACGTCATGCCCTTCACTTGCTCAGACCCAGATTTTCTACTTCGCTAGCCAGCTGGGCTACATAGCGTTTTTTTCTATTTTTTTTTTTTTTTTTGGTTTAGCTTTGTGCATTTAAGTGCTGTGCAATGTTTTGTTGTTGCTGCTGTTGTTATTGAACTTGTCTAATTGAAAGCGCTACTCGTTAACGGTAAACACAACATAGCTTTTACATGTACATGTATACACACACACACGCATACACATACACGGACACAGAGTTGTATGTACAACAATTTAACGGTTTCGAATCCAATTAAAAACTGATCAAAGATGGCGACTCAAGGATCATACAGGTACGCACAGTGGTGCAAGACTCGGCGAACAGTGAGCGATTCTTAATGAGAGTTTTATTATCCACTTGTGGTTGGTCATTTAGAAGTACGCTTTCTTTATTCTTTATTTTCTTACATTTTTATTGCATCTAAGCAATAAGTTGAAGTTATTTTATTATATTCAGCAGCATGTATAATTTAACACAATAAAAACAGTTGAGAATATTCATTTAGGATTTCTGTATTGAAGCGTACACCGATCTTTATCAAAATCGCTTAGGGCTATTTAAAGCCCAAATAATCTCATTCAATGAACTTAGTTATCTTTCCAAATTAGTTGTCAACTGATCGTTTCTGTATTAGTTAGTTTGACTGAGATAAGTTTACACAAATTTTAAAAAAATACCGTCACCATTAAAGAAGGAGAAAAAGTATAAAAATAAAAAGGTTAGCACAAAAAAATAAAATAAAAAAAACACCTTTCACGCTCAACACTGGAAAAATCAGAGATGTCTCTTGCTATACGTTTTACAAGTTGGCAACAGATTCCATTCAATTGTGGGTGTAAATAATATTGGACTTGTCGTACATACCTTTTTGGGGTTAGTTCGATTAGTTTTGGATTTGAAGAGCAGCAAAAGACTGATCAATTGGACACTACGCGTGTGAGCTATATGCGCGATCTGAGCTTTATGCGGTCAGTAAGAATTCCTTTTATAGCCGATCTCTGCGTGGGCCTTAAGTGATAAGCGTCGAGCGTGAAGCCAAGGCCAGATAAGACATATACATATACATGCATTACTGTATATACACATATGCATACATATATGCATAACGCTAAAGATTGCTCTGTTCCCGGGCTCGGCAATATTATTGTAATCAATATTTGCATAGCTACAGTTATTCACCAAATGGAGAATAGAGAATGAGAATCAATTACAACTAGATGGGCTCGTTTGCCTCTCTCTTACAGATGTAAATATAAATTAAAAAAGATACAACAAATACCGATCGATAGATCAGCATGGAAGCTATATAATATACCCTATACATATATATATATATGTTGTATATATATATGGTCTCTGCAGGTAGATCCAGTCACTGTGTAAAAATCTCGAAATGAAAATTCCATTCGATTTTCGATAGAAAATATTCAGACTTCAAATTGCAGCTATTAGTTTTATATTATTATATATTTTGCAACGAAATAATTTGTTTGTTCTTTTGTTTGTTTGCTGTGTGGGTGGGTCTGATAAGCCCAGCACTTATTAAAACATAAAATTTTATTCATTTCATATATATATTTATAGCGACCTTCCGGTCGCTCACTGAGTAAGAGATAAATTGCACTCGTGCATCTATCTTGGCTTGAGCAAATTGATTGCAGCCCACTGTTGCCACCATTGCCAGTGTATGCTGAATAAAAAGGATGCTGAGCCGGTCGCTCGATCGGTCAGACAACGGGGGATTATTTATGCGAACGCCCTTTGCACTCTTCACCCAACTGATAATGATGGGGGAAGGGGGAAGAGGAGGAGGAGAGACAGTTCCAGAGACCAGATTCTATGGCTTGTCTGGCTTATCATGTTTTTGTTGGTTGCGTGCTGGCTTTCAATTTAAATGGATTTTTAATTAATTTGAAACAAGATTTATGGGCATATTATGATTGTTCTTTGACTTTGTCTTGAATTGACAATCATCTAAATTATAAAAACAACATCAATTCCCAAAATGGTGAGACTAAATTAAGTCAAACTATTTAAAAAGTCGCGAATGATTTGCAGGAATACCTCCAATGTGTATAGATAATATAGAACTATATATAGCTTATGGTTTAGAAAAGGTTTGAATTATTATGAACCATTCATTCATATTACAAATATTGTTTTGCCTATTTTAACAATATTCTCAATTTACCAATACTTTTATAAAACTTGAACGTTTAAAGTAAAAGTATTACTAATTAGATAAGACACAAATTTCTTGTTCGCAAAAATCAAGTAGAATATAAATTTCAGAAAATTGCGAATATTTCAAAATGTGATGTAAAATTGATCGAACTTTCTGACGACTTTTTTTAATGCTTTAGAATTTATAAATTTATTTTTGATGCGACTTTTACATTTTCCATAACAAATATGTAAAAAAAAGAAAGAAAAAAAGTCAGACACAAAACGTTCTTGTTGCCAGTGATTACTGTAAGTACTTGAATTATTTATTACATAGCGTTATATATGCTGCTAAATATATGTACATAAATATATACATACATAACATAAATATTGAAGTGAAGGGAAACATATAAGTCCGAAACCATTGCATTGGTGTTGGGGAGGGGATGGGGAAGGGAGAATTGCGTGTAATATGTTAAAAATGTTGCCTGAATCGTTTACATTGATTACACTGATTTACAATGTTAGCTATGCGAATAATATGTATATGCTGTATGTGCTGCAAACATATATTGCGACAATAACATTGATTTATTATTTTTACCTGGTTTAGTATATAATCTGTCAACCTAAATTAAAACCAAATCGAAAATAATAAAGAAACGTGAGAATGTGCAGTAGATTCAAACAAAACAAAAATCAGCACGCACACAAGCAAATCATGTTGAACGCAGAATTGACAATTGCGATAGCAAACAGCTGACCACAGCCGATAGATGGCATCAGCAGCCATGGACTTGACAGCTGCACAATCGATACAGACAATCGAAAATTATATCGCTGTTAGTTAACATACTCTGTTATTTATCGATTGTATCATTTGTATCATCGATTGTTCATTGAGGAGTTTTCATTTGTTGTTGTTTCGCCGCAGGGTTCGGACGTGTGTTTTATTTGTCGAGTTGTACGTTGGAAGCAGTTCATCTCGTCTTGCGTTGCGTTAATTTCTTCTTTTTTACTTTTTTTTGCTGTGTAATTTTGTTTTGCCCACTAACCAAACGCAAACAACGGACAAACCACGACCACGAGACGGAGTCGTCTACCGACTAACCGATACCGATATACCCACAAAATGTCCCAGTGAAATGTGACGACCCGACGCGAAAAAGTGTCCGCAATCGCGCAGTCGAGGCGACAAAAAAGAAATAAAAAACCATTTGCAAGAAAAAAGAAAAAAAAAGTGAGAGGAATCGGCAGCGACGCTGCGCCCCCATTCAAAATAAAAGTGAAAACGTGCAAAAATACACAAAAGCCAGCAAGAACAGCAGCAGCAAAATATTCATTCGTTTAGTTAAAACTTTTGTGCCCAAAAATGTGCGACGCTGCCACAACAACAACAACAGCAGCAGCAACAACAACTGCAGCAGCACAAGGAACAGGAACAGGAGCTGCTGGCGATACAGCGATGGAAGAACAAAATCAACGAGAGCGACAAAGCTGCTGTCGCCTGTGCCTTGCGCCCGCCAGCGAATGCATTTCGATCATTAACAGTTATGCGGCCGATAAGGAGCCGCTAGCCACTAAAATACACAACTGCGTAAATATCAAGGTGAGTTCTTCAAACAGACGACGCTCTAAAGAGTTGCCAGACACACACATACACACACACAGACACACTCACACATAGAGAGAGATACACATGCATATATACACATACGTAATACATTCTCATCCACTAGTCATTTTCGATATCGAGATTCGATTTCTACCTGCTGCTACTGCTGTTGCCTCCTCCTCCAAAACGAAACAGTTATACACACTACACTAGCTAACTCCCATGCCCCGCCGGAGTAGGCCGGCTGCCACACCCGTGCTGGCGGCGCTGGAGTGGATGATGGGTCGGGTCGAGTCATCCATCCCAGCGTCAGCACCACCACCACCACCATCAGCAGCAACAGCAGTAATAATAGTTGTGCGCTAATCGTGTAATCGATAACACAATTTCCAATCAACTTAATAACTCGAAACATAAAAAAAAATAAAATAAAACAAGAAAGTGAGGTTAAATACGAAACCAAAAGTAAAATATGCCTCATCAGACGCGAGCTGCTCTGCTCTGCTGCTGGCTGGCCCCATTTGATTGTGCAAGCGATGGCGACGATGACGATGACGGCGTCGTCGTTGTCGGCAACGACTGCTGCTCATTGCCCGCTGCAGCATTCCCCCTCCCCCATTCCCAGTCAGGCAGCCAGGCCAGTCAGTGGCAGTTGCCCGTGAGCAACATCATCATCATTGGGGAAACAACGGAATCGAGCACTCGTTTTATCCATGCCCCTATATGAATGTTGTGTATGCTCCGGCTCTGCTCTGGCTCTGGCTCTTTCATTGCTTTCAAGTGCCAAGTCACGATGCCCAACGACGACGACGACGACGGCCATCGCCATCGCCATTTATTGGTATTGGTATTGGTGTAACTTTGTCGTTGTCGTTGTGGTTGTCGCTGGCTGGTTGACGTTGCCTGTGGCTCGCTGCTTGCTTTGCTTGCTTGGCTGGTTTGTCGTTCGCTGCTGCTGCTGCCGCTGCTGCTCGATTGCCGACGTTGACTTGACGTCGTCGTCGTCGTTGTCGTGGTTGTCGTCATCGGCATTTCGTATGTGCTACGTTGGCAGCTGCTGCTGCTTGCTGGCTGCTCTGGGAATCGTTCGCTGCTTGCCGTTGCCCATTCCTATTCCTATTCCCGTGCAGCGGATTGAGGTTAGAATTGGCCCGGCAACAATGTCTTTCTTTTCTTATTCTTTCCCCTTTTTTTTTTTTAAATAATAACAACAAACTATGTTGATGCCTCTTTTTGTTTATTATTTACAAAATTTCGTTTATTGCTGCTTCTTCTTTCCATTCTACTGATTTTTGTTGTTGTTTTTTAAACTTGCCGCCGCCCGCTTTTCCCAATTCGTTTAGAGATGAGCTTGTAAATTTATCGAAAGTGGGCATGTAACATTAATTGGCACCGAATAATTGAGTAGCTGAATATAAAGTAACTTAAATTATAACAGCGTGCAATAAGTAATTACATATATATATATATATATATATATATACATACATACTCGTATATGCAATTATTTATTTACTCTTATATGTATATATATATATATATATATATATATATATGTACATAAATAAGAATTGATTTTCGCAGCCAGAAAGAAGCACTGCGTGAGCCCATCACTAAGCACGACACGAAAAATCAGCACAAAACGTAGAGAGCAATGAGCGGCAGCGGCGCCCGCCGCCGTCGAACCGAACGAACGCCGTTCAACGGGCAACACACAGCACACAACATATAACACAATTTTCGAGGCCGTCAACGTCTCTATGAGAATTGAGAGCGAACAAGCGAGGGCAGAGCAAGAGGAAGAGATGTGTGCGTCTGTGTGCGTGTGCGTGTGTACATGTATTATGCCTTTATATGTGTGTTTGTATACATACATACATATGTATATATATATATATGTGTGTGTGTGTGTGGAGCTTGGGTCGCGCTTGGTTCGTTTCATATCGGTTGTGTCTGCTTCTTCTGCTTCTGCTGTGCCTGCCCAGCGCCAGAGCAATTACGTATAATTTTTGTGCTCGCCTCGCTACTATGGAATTCACAGCAAATGGTGCCCGGCGGTGCCCGATGCCCCCGCGAGTCGAGTCGAGTCTCTTACAGTTGATGGTTGCCAAGTTGCTGCACAACCCAAAACTCAATCCGTTGCCCATGGCCCATGTCCAATTCTCGATTTATATCAACAGAATCAGCGAAAGAATCCAAGCCTGAATCGAACCGAGCAGCAGCCGTCCAGTTCAGTTCAGACCAGTCTATTTCCGTTCCCGTTCATCACCCTCCCCCCGCCACTGGTCTTGATTCCTTGATGATGCTTCTCTCTCTGGCTCTCCACCTCTGAATCTCTCGTTCACTCTGTCTCGCTCTCTTTGGTGATTGCGCGCGCGCTCTTGTCGTGTCCTTCACTGGCTTCCAATTTTGTGATTCGACTCCTCGCCTGGGCCATTGATATCCGGTGCAGCCAAGGCACCTCTGGGGCAAAGTAGTCGTAGTAGCAGCAGCAGCCGCCGCCGCCGCACAAAAGGGAATAAGTAAAACGCAAAATGTAGAAAGAAAAAACACACACACACAGAGAGAAGCAAAAGAATGAAGAGAAGAAGGAATGTGAAATAACAGCAAAATGTGAAACTGCCTTTGGATTTGTTGGCTTCGCTAGCTTCGCTGCTTTGTTGCTTGCCTGTCTGCCTGCCTGCCTGCTGCTGCTGCTGCTGCTGTTGCCTGGTGCTCTCGGCTCGGTTATTGATTCTTTTGCAGGGCACAGCTGAGCCACAGCCAGGCAGGCAGTCAAGCCCAGAGTCGCCCTCGTCGTCATCCACTTTTCGTTCGACACAAAATGGTTGCCGGCCGCTGCTGCTGCTACGAATGACGACGGCGACGACGACTCTTTGGCCTGCGCCCCCGGCAACGACATCATCATCTACGTCGGCGTCGTCGTTGTCGTCGTCGTCGTCTTCGTTGTCGTCGGCACGTTGTTGCTGCGTGTACTTTGGTTGGTGCCTGGTGTGCTTGCTGGGCTGCTCTTTGGTTTCGCTTTGGCTCGATTTCATGGTGAATACACCAGCAACTAGCAACTAGCAGCCAGCAACCAGCAGCAGCTCAACCAATACACACACATGACACACACACATTGCGACCGACCATTTGGTTGGCGTCATCGTTGTGCGGTTCGCTTGTTATCTGGAGGCGGACCACATGTACACACACACACACATATGCACGCACTTACTCAGAGTAGAACAGCAGTAGCAGTAGCAGCAGGCCTAAGGAAGGGGAACAGGGCAGGGCAGATACAAAAACACACACACACCTATTCACATACATGCCGAGTGGTTTTTTTTTTTTGGTCTGTTGGTGTTGTTGTATTCAAGCAGATTAACCTGGTGAAGTTGCAGTTGTTGCGCCCGCCTGCTTTCCGCATCGAATTTCGGTTACACATCATCATCAGCAGCAGCAGCAAAGAAAAAAAAACTTTCTCTGATCAGAAAAAAGCGCTCGCTGGAGAGAGAGAGAGAGAGATGGCACTGATAAAAACTCCAATGGGAGAGAGCACACACACACACATCGACATTTTTGCCCTTTTACATTGCATATTGAAGTTTACCGTTTCGAATCGATAACTAAACGATTTATCGAGTGCAAATGCACTTGACTGCTGTTGTTGTTGTTATTATTATCGTTGTTGTTGTTGTTATCGTTCTGCTTGCCGTGTGTAATTCAATATGGGAACAACAACAATAGCAACAACGGATGAAGATCGCCATTACTTGCTAATGCTTAGGGTTACTTTTGTTGGACAGGACACACACACACACACAGAGAGAGAATCACACACACAATCGCACACACAACGAATAAGGACACAAAAGTAAATACGGCAATGAAGATAAAGATATGAGGAACAAGAACCCGAAACTTGTTCAGGCTCCGAGATCTCATGCGGCGTTGCTGGACTGGACAAGCTGAGCTGAGCTGTGCCTGCCTGTCTGTTTGCCTGACTGCCTGCCTGAGTGTGGAGAGTGGGGAGAGCGAGAGAGACACTCGTAATTCTGGCCAGCATCTCTCAGATCTCTGCCTTGTGCCCTGATGATGATGATGATGATTGTTGCACCTGGTGGCCAGCAGCAGCTGCTGTTGGCAACTGTGGCAGCTGCCACTGCATGTTGTTGTAGTTGTTGTATTGATGGATGAAAGATTTCCTTTTAACTTTCTAAAACCCCAGCCTGTTTTTGTATTTTCTGTATCTTTATCTTATCGAAGATAAATGCAAAAAGTGTTTAAAAGGACGAAATTTGAACTTTTGGGCTTACAACCTTGACCCCCAATCCCAATTTTCCCCAATTCATTTTCATATATTTGACAATGAGGAAACTATATTCAATATATGTATATATATATATCCATATATTTATATATTAAAGAGAGCTGCAATAATTGTATTTGTATCGGTTGTAAAGCGTTAAATTTCTTTTCAAATGTGGCATTTGCTTAATAACTGTTCACAATTGCAATTTACTTGCAATAATATCACAATGTCTATGTGTTTGTGTGTGTGTGTGTGTGTGTGTGTGTGTTGGCATTAACCAAATTAGTCCGCAATTTCCTTTTAGCATAGTTTGCGGTTAACTTAAGCAGAAGCATCGGCATTTTCGTCGCATTCCAAGTACAATTGCTGCACATTTAACCTGAACACATCAGCAACAATAACAACAACAACAATGCCCATTAAAGTCAACAACCCCCCGTCCCCATCCCCTCATCCATCCCACTTAAGACCACAACAAGTATGTGCGTGTGTGTATTGTATCTATATCCAATTGTGATTATGCCGCCATCTTCGGTGCAACCACTTGAGAAAGAGATTTGCCCAAATGCAGGATGGGAGGATGTGTTGTGCGGCTCGATGGATAGGAGCGATAGAGAGGGAGAGGGAGAGTGAGAGAGAGAGAGAGAGAAATAGGGTGATGGACTGGTGGGTGGGGGAGCTATCCAAGGTGAATGAACAACGTATTATCGAAAACCCTTCAAAGCCAAGTGGAAGGGAAAATCTATAGGATGGTAATTGGCAAATGTGTTGTGTGTGTGTGTGTGTGTTGTACATAAAGGACATTTGTATATAAGGCGAACATGGATGCGTATGTATGTATATAAATTGCTATGCTTGGTTGCGAAGGGGGTTGGGTTGGTGGTTAGGGGGTTTGGTAATTAATAAATAATACAAAAGCGTACGCATTAAAGTTGTAAAAATAAGTAAATACTTGAATAAGCAAAAAATAGTATGTGTGTGTGCGTGTGTGTGTGCGTGTACGTGTTTATATAACCATTATTTACATTGCTATATACTTGGCACCTTTGATTGTTGCCAGCTGTCAAATGCATTTGTTGCCGGCTCAACGAATGCCAATTTGTGTTTTTGTTTTTCAGTTTTTGTTTGTTTCGGTTGACGTGATGTGTATCGATGTCTGAGACATCGGTAATGGCCACGTGTTATCGATATCTTTGCGAAACGATAGGCGATGATCATAATTAATTAAATGTGTCTACACACTTACATGCAAAAGCACCATAAATAAGCAGGTATTTCTTAAGCTAACGCTGGTTCACCTTTGTTCATTGTTGTTTACCGATTGAAATTAAATGATTTGTTTTCGAAATTAAAACTAAACTAAAAGCGACAATTGTACATTGGTATTTGTATATATATATATATATATATATATATATGTTTGTTTATATTGAATGACTTCATGTCGATTACTGCACTGATTCAGCATTCGGTTCTTCACATTCGTATGTACTTCTTGGAGTAGTTCACATTCGTTCGATCTTGTTGCGATTGCAAAAGTGTCGCAATTCCACAATTGCTTATCAATTATCGCTGTAACTAAATAACTCAATATTTGGGTTGCTTATGCTGATTTGTATGCTTTCATTCTCATGCCGCATGTCTCCACACAATCTTTCAACTTAAAAGCCAAAATGGTCCCATGCCATAGGCAATTGAAAGCGCATTATGCACAAACACAAAGCCACAGCCAAAGAGGAGACTGCTGCTGCTGTTGCAACGACAACTACAACGGCAACGACGACAATTAGATGTGTTTATGTATGCCTAATATGCGGCACTCAACTGCACATAGGCGAATACATCATCATCAGGTATACATATAAGTATGTGTCTCTATATATGTATGTGCGCGATTGTATATACACATATATATATATATTGTATATACATATATACATACATATATATATATATCCATACCCATACATGCGCACACAAAATGCTGTTGGGCAGAAGGACATGCAACATGCATTTGAATTGCACTATTCCATGTAGGTGGGTAATTGTCTCTCTGTGTGTGTGTGTGTGTGTATGTGTGTGGTCGACTGCAAGAACCGTCGAGTTTTGCATATAATTAAAGCAGGTCGTTGACATTAATATTCTATCTATTTGAGAGCATAGAGGCTGACTTCAAGCAGCACGAGCCGAGCTCCTGGAATGTTTGTTGTTCTTGTTGTTGTTGTGTTGTTGTTGTGTTGTTGTTGTTGTGTTGTCGGCTATCGATAAAGAAAATTCCGGCCAACAAATGGTGTGAGATTAAATGGCTCAATATGCGGGGATAACTTCACCAGGACCAATGCGCATCCCCATCCCCCTCCCCCTTCTCCTCCCCACATTCCCCATAACATGCCTTTGTTGTCGTCAAATTACATAAAGCATAAAACACGACACCTCCAACTACATATGTCAATACACCATTGTATATCCAAGTATATAAAGCTATGCCAGTTAGCCTAGCCTGAGGTTAAAGCTGAGTGTTATTATATCGAATAGGAGAGCAGCTATATGCAAAGCAGGAGAGGAGGAGGAGGAGTAAAATGCACAAGTTTCCATATTACATATTACATCTAACATATTGAACATGCAACAATTTATATACGTATTTGTTTAGTTAATGATAAACATAAACATCTCTAATTTGGCAATTTGATTTTGATTTCTATTTCGCATAGATCACATCGGTGGATCGTCTGTCGTTGCATATTTGCCATGCCTGCATCAGTTATTTGAACTCATGGCAGAGCTTCAAGAATCGCTGCCTCAGCTCACAGTCGAAGCAGCGCCAATGGCTGGAGACGGACAAAACCAAGCAGCAGACGCTACTCGGATACTTGGATTTGAACAGGGCCGAGAATGGCAGCACCATTGAGCAACAACAACAACAGCAGCAGCAGCACGATTTAAAAATGGATTCAGCGACGTCTGCAGCTGAAAAGGCGTCCGCTGCCAACATTTTGGATGGCATACCTCAGCTGAAGAAACGCAAATCGTTAACAGTCTATGTGAGTCCGAGTCCCAAGCAACAGCAGCAAGCACAGCAACAACAGTCGCAACAACATTCTCAGCAACAGCATGCAACAGGGGCAAGATCAACAACGAAACCATCAGCTGCGGCGGCGGCGGCGGCGGTGGCAGAGTCGCAACAAACATTGCAAACCCTTTTATTGCAGGTGCCCACAGCAGCAGTAGCAGCAGCAGCGACATTGGCAACCTCGTCAACACAGCAACAGCAACAGCAGCGCAAGTATCAACAGCAGCAGCAGCGGCAGCAACGTGGCAAGCAGCCGCAACATCAGTATCATCAACAGCAGCAGCGACAGAGTCGCGTTCGTCAACCGCGACGACAGCAACAAACGGCAACGAGCAAATTCAGGAGCAAGTTGTATGTGCCATTGGATATATCGGTGCCAGCACTGCCAGCGCTGTTGCCGCCACCGCCGCCAGCTGTTGCTGATGCAGCGTCGTTGCCATTGCCGCTGTCGCTGCCACTTGATTTCAGCCAGAATCCGAATATAAATCCCAATGCAAGTCAAAATCTAAATCAGAGATATACAAGTAGCGTTTTAGTGCCGCAGCCGCAGGCTCCGCCGATGCCGCTGCCCCCGCCAGTTGCAACAATGAGCAGCAACGAGGCTGCCATTGGTGGTGAAACTGCAACTGCAACCGCAGTCACGACTCCATTGCTCATGCCAGTGACGCTGCAGAGCGCCGCCCAGCAGCTGCGCTTTTTCAGGCGCTGTTCCTATAATGTAATTGTATCGTGCATTCGCAAGCGTCCACATAGTCTAGCCCAGCCTAGCCTAGCCCCTCACATATGTAGTACAATATATATACACCTAAATCTACCTGCCACCAACACCTCTCTTTCCTTCCACATCGACCAGCTCGCATCAGCCGCGATGCTTATTAAATATTCAATTACATTCAATTCTATCGAATAAAACCCAACAACATTTTTCAACTTTAAACTTATCGATCGTGTGTCTCGCTTACAGCCGCTGCCTGCCGTGCCCATCAAGGATGAGCCCATGGACGATACGGATGATGACTTTCAAATGAAGTGCATAGATGAATCCGATGATATGATGGATCCCACAATGTTCCTAGAGCGCTCCGAGCATGAAGGCGATGTGCCACTAAATGTAAGTAAAACCAAAAACAAATCGATTACAAATTGTAAATTGAAAAATAACACCACATAAGCAGACTCATTTTGAGGAGAATTGTCGATTTTTTTATCGAGCATGAATTGATGTAGTGAAGTCCAGTAGTAGTAACAGGCAGAGACCATCGATAATTATCGATTCTAATCAAAAACGATATGAAAATTGATTTTGTGTATTACAGTCTCGTGTTTGTTTTTCGCGTATGAACAACCCAGTATGAGTAATGAATATATTTAGTGCAACAAAAAGCTCTCACAATCTCACAATGTTTCGCTAGGGGCACTACTGCGTCACATTCTGCTTTGATGTGCTTAGAGGCGTTTCATCGTCCCTCGGCAGAGTCCTTTACTCTGACTACTTCTAGTTTTGTTAGTTCGAAGAGACCAAACCTAACCGGTGATTATGCCAAGTCTGTTCTTTCCCATGGATATTACTTGCTTAAATAATAAATAAATAAATTCGATTGATAAATTCGATGACCTGCTACATTTCTGTAGTGCTGCCGTAATGTGAATTTTTCCATGCCACAAAACGTAACTGGTTCCATTACGGGCCTGATTCCCCGCCATAATGCTTGAGACACCCGAAATCCAACTGAGTAATGCAATATAAGTTTATTAACGTGGAACTAGATAGATAGATAGATCGATAGATAGATAGATCGATCGATAGATAGATAGATAGATAGGACATATGTGCGGGGAAAGTGGCCTCAATTTCTAGCAGGCGAATGTAATCGACTATATTTATTTATATAGTATATATATATAAATATATATATATACCTATTTGTATAAATCTAATTCATTTTCTAATCTGCATTTTCCATCTCTCTCTTTCTGGCTCAAAACAGACCTCCGACTATGATTATACGGCTCAGCATGGCGTGACCGCTGTTGTGGCGGCTGCATCGCTGCCGGCCAGCGCCGTTGCAAATGTGGCCGCCGCTGGCGACTCGAAGGTGGCCAGCTGCCGGGCGTGCAGTCTGCAGTTCTCGACGCGGGCGAATGCGCGTCGCCACGAGCGCAATCTGCATCCGAATCTGTTTCAATTGTCGACAGACTCACCAAATAATACGCCAATCACCAAACCGACACCGGCCCTCGCCGCCGCCTTGGAAATACAGCGTGCAGCGGCGGCGGCAGCGGCAACCGCTGAGGCAACGCGTGCCGCTGCCGGTGGCAATATATCGGCGCAAAAGTATCGACAGGTGGTGATGAACACGTTCATCAAATGCGAAAACGGTGGCTTCGACTACGACAATCCCGAACAGTATCAGCAGCTGTTGTCGCGCGACAAGGTCGATTTCATACAGGATAACAGCGAGTTTCTCGAACAGTACCAGACGATGACGTGTCGCTGTTGCAACAAGTACTTCAACACGTACAAGAACTTTATGGCGCACGTACGCAAAAAGTATCCGTTGCTGCCGCGCAACCTCTGCTTCAACTGCCTCAAGATGAACGACTCGAAGGCGCTGTTCATATCGCATCTGAAGAAGCGCAACTGCATCAATTTGTATCGTGTGCTCAACGCACTGCGCACCAAACAGCCAAACTTTGTCCATGCCAATGCCAACGCGCCATCCACTTCCACTGCAGCCGCAACGACTTCTGTACACCAGCAGCAGCAACAGTTGGTGACAGCAAACGAAACAGCAGCAACAACAACAGCAACAACAACAGCAACAACATCAACGGATCGTCCGGAGAAGTTGCGTGCAAAGGAGCTGCTGGTTAACAAGCTGTACGAGTGCAAGCTGTGCCCAAAGGGTTTTCGCACAAAGCACGAGTTCCGCACCCATGTCTACGACAAGCATGCGGATGTCCAGCGCAAGGATAGCAATTCGATACAGTGCAGCTTCTGTGGCATGGACTTTGCCGATCCCGGTGGTCGTCGAAGACACTACAATAACATGGATTGCATTGTCCGGCTGCGCTGCATGACCTGCGATGCGAAACTGGAGACGCATCAGCGTTTCCTCGACCATGTCTATCAGGATCATTTGGGTGGGGTGAGCACTGAGAATGCATCGTCCACGGCGACGACCAGTGGCTTGGATCATGCGTCCGGCAAGCGCAGTTTGCTGGGCGCCCTTGGCATCGGCGTTGTCAGTCAGTCAGCCAATGGTGAGTCGCGGAGCAGCAACAGCAACAACCACAACAACAACAACAATAATAACAACAGTAACAACAACAACAATAATACACCTCTAACTTCGACACCCAAACTACCAACCGGTGGAGGAGGAGGAGGAGCAGCAGCAACCAGTGGCGGATCGACAACATCGGGCAGTCGAGATGCACCCAAATCACAGTATTTCTCACGAATGCCACAGGTCTGTCCGATCTGTGGCCAGCAGTACAACAACTATAACAATGTGTTGCGCCACATGGAATCGAAGCATCCCAACAAATTGCCAGAGACATATAAGTGTGTCCGCTGCGGATTGGGCTATCCGCGGATCTCCTATCTGCGGGAGCACATGATCAATGTGCATGGCGTTGACAAGAATCGGCATTCGGGCGGCTTTGAATATATTGTGAATGCCGATGCAGTTAAATTGGCGGATGGCAGCACGCCCAATGTCTATACGGGACGATATGATTATGTGATGAAGGATCTGATGTCAATAACAAATGGTGGGACACTCGGTAATTTTTCGTTTGGCCTTTGCCAACCACCAGCTCCCCCCTCCCCAACCCACCCCACCACACCCACAACCATCATCATTCCCCCCATCTAAATTGTGTGTGCAGTCCTGTGCTTGCGTTCTAGCGTTGCCACATATATATATGCTTCTCAAATACATATATATACATACATATATACATATATTTATATATATATATATGTGCGTGTGTCTTTATCTTAGTGTTTATATGCCACATCTTGCTCTAATCATTTGTCTTGTCTCCACCTCCTCCACCCCACCTTCAACTCCTCCTATTCTATTCCACTTGCAGATGATGATGACGATGAAGGCGGCAACATTGCCAAAAAGATGAGACTCGATGATAGCAGCAACAACAGCAGCAGCATCAACATGAGCAGCATTGCCAACCAGCAGAAGGAGTGCCTCATCTGTAATGCGGTGTTTAGCAACAATATTGGTCTATCGAATCATATGCGTTCCCATTACACAGCATCGATAACGACAAGTGCTGCTCTGGCGGTTGCCAATCGCATGACACCCAAATCGCTGACAATAACAGCAACGCCACCGCTGGAGGTGACATCGACGGCGGCGGCGGCGGCATTGGCAACATCATTGGCGACGTGCACGACAAATACATCGACTGCTGCAGCTGCAACAAAGACAACGACGTCAACAACAACTGCAGCTGGAGTTGCAGCAGTGGCAGCAGCATCATCAGGAGCAGTCGCCTCAACAGCAACAGCATCAGGATCAGGGTCATCATCCGGCAACTTGCCGCCAGCAATGGTGCATCAGACGGCACAGGAGCAGGCGGTATTCCGTCGCAGCCTGGATCAGGCGGCCGATCGACGATTCCGTCGAATGCGCTGTCGCATCTGTCAGCGCAGATTCAGTTCGAAGAAATCGTATCGCTACCACATGCTCACCGACCACCAGGTGCAGAATGTGCAGTTCATCAAGTGCAAGCTGTGCAACGCGGAGTTTGCCTACGAGAAGGGGCTCAAGGTGCATCTGTTCAAGGTGCACGGCCGGGCCATCAAGGACGAGATGATTATCAAGCAGTTCGAGTGCGATGTCTGCTCCACGGTCTACAGTTCAGAGCTGGAATTGCAGCAGCACAAGCGCAGCGTACACAAGTCACACGCCAGTGATTCGACATCATCTGCAGCTGGTGGTGCTGGTGCTGCTGGCAAATCATCATTGAAATCTGCTACTGCAACTACCTCATCGACAGCTGAGCTGGTCGCAGACACATCATCCACCTCGGGAACGGCGGGTGCGGCCATTTTGCTGCCACTTTACTGGTACCAGTGCAAATATTGTCCATCCAATTTCAACACCAACAAGAAACTGGCCATCCACATCAACTCGCACGACGAGTTCGACTCGAACGATTACTCGTGCAAGGACTGCGGCAATGTCTACAGCGGCCGCAAGAGCCTCTGGGTGAGTCTCAAATTAACAAAACTAACAACTCGATATATATAGATATATATATATATCAGCATTGATCAGTCCAAGTTTATTTCGGAGATAGATAGATACATAACAGCCAAGTCTACTATGTATTTAATAAGGGTCTGCGTACAGGGTATCTGCAAGCCGAGCTGACTCGAGCAGAGTACTCATTTGAACTCATTTAAATTGGATAGAATTCTTTTGCTTTGTATTCGTTTCCAGTTGCGTTTCTCTCTTACAAATTATTTGGTTTTATTTTTATTATGATATATATATTGATAAATTGGCATTCGCATTTTGTAGGTGCATCGCTACAAGAAGCATCCGCAGGTGCCGGATCCCGCCGAGTGCACGCTGTGCCGCAAGATGTTCTTCGATCGCCAGATGCTGGAGAATCATACGCCCACCTGCAATCGCAAGCCAATCACTGCCACCGGCGCCCATCAGCAGGATCAGCAGCAGCAGCAGCAACAACAACATCAGCAGCAGCAACAACAGCTGCAGCTGCAACATCATCAGCGACTCATCTTCAAGCACAAAACGGGCGATGATGATGACGAGGAGGAGGATGATGATCAGTTGCTGCTAATGGACGATGGCGGTGGCGGCAGCAATGATAGCAATGCTGGCCATGCCATTGCATCAACAGCAGCAGCTGCAGCAGCAGCAGCAGCAGTCACAATAAATACGAGCACAATGAAGATACGCTTTCCAGAGGTTGCATGCACCATTTGCAGTGCCCGTTTCACCGATCAGGAAATATTCACCAAGCACATACAGAAACACGAACAGGAACTGTATGTGGACAATCCGTTGGCGGCGATGTTCGATGATGGGCCAGCGGATGCCGGACAATTTCAGGTTGAGCACCAGAATGAGAATGGGGAATACGCGTGCGATTTGTGCGCCAAGACGTTCCCGCAGGTGATAGCGCTCAAGGTGCATCGCAAGTGGCATTTCAGAGGTGATAGCAAGCAGGTGAGCTTTTTGGGCTTGTGCAGCGAGGTGGAATCTCTATTTCTGATGAATGATGCTTCCCACACCCGTGGAATATTACGTTTGTTCTATTGTTGCCTCCGCACCAGTCGCAAAAAAAAATACATAGTACAAAGACAACAACAATATACAAAAAAAAAAAGAAAAAAAAAAAAAAGAATTACAACAAATTGTAGAATTTGTTGCATAGCCTGAATGGTTTACTAATTTTTGATTTTCCTTTTCTCCTGCTTTCTATAACGAAAACCCTTCCTTCCCCCCCCAAAACATCATTTAGATCCCAATCAACGACGGCGAAGCGACAACGCTGAACAACAGCAGCAACAACAACAACAACAACAATTCGCTGAGCTCATCATCGATGCTGCATCTACGCGAACTGCATGCGGTGGGCCTGATGCCCAATCAGCAGCAACACCAGAAACAACAACAGCAGCAGCAGCAACAACAGCAGCAACATCAGCAGCAGCAGCAACAACGGACGAGCAAATCAATGAAACGGAAACGTGAACTGAAATGCGAATACTGCGCCTCCACATTCATTAGCAACAACAACCTGCGACGCCACATGTACGAGCTGCACAAGCACGAGGTCAGCAACCTGCCAGAGCCGCCCGTGATTGAGGTGGATGAGCCGTTGGCGTGTCGCCGTTGCGGCGATCTACAATTTGATACCAAAGAGCAGTGGATCGAGCATAAGCTGGCCGATGCGAGAGTGGTGCGTCCATTCTGTCCATTCCAATGGGGCTGTGATCTGTGCGGCGAGTATTTGTCGCGCAAGGAGAAGCTCATCAATCACATTAACAATCATCTCAAGGAGGATGTGATTGTGCCGGTCGCCACCAAGCCACCAGCACCGGCAGCAGCAGTAGCCAATAAAACTGCAGCAGCAGCAGCAGCAACAACAACAACAGCGGCAACAACACCAACAATTGCCTACGCAGTAACAAATGTAGCTGCTAAATCAGCAGCAGCAGCAGCAACGGCGGCGACGAAGTCAACGACAACAGCAGCAAAAGAACTGAAGGCTAAACAACAGCGGCAGGAGGATGATGACCTGCAGCTGGATGATGAGAACCTAACGAAGCAGCAGCACCAGCAGCAACAGGAGGAGGAGGAGGATGATAGTGATATGGATGATGAGAGCGATAGTGGCAATGATGATGAGGAGAGCAGCAGCAGTGTTGATGATGGTGATGATGAGGAGGGCGATGTCGATGACGACGATGATGATGATGATGACGAAGAAGAAGACAACGACAATGGTGAAAATGTTGTTGCACAGCAGCAAATACTGCAACAACAGCCTCAAAATACAAACACCAACAACAACAGCAACAGCGCTATTGAAAATGACGATGATCTCATTGAGGAGGTGATCGAGGATGATGGCATTGTCGAGCAGCTGGACGTCGATGATGATGAGGAAGATGATGATGACGATGACGACGATGACGACGATGATGATGATGATGATGATGGCGAAGACGATGACGACATCGATGAGGATGAGGATGAGGATGATCAGCCGAGACGCCTCAATTTCGACTACTCGCGCACCGACAGCGCCAAGCTAAATGGCAACGGTGGCAAACAGTCTGTGGCAAAATCAAAGACACAGCCACAGTTGCAGCAACAGTTGCAGACACAGCCAATGCTGGCCATGCACAGTAGTAGTAGTAGTCGCCACGTGAATGATGGCGAGGAGGAGGTGGATGATATGGATGATGATGTTGATGACGATGATATTGTGGGTGAAGCGATGACCATTGATGATATTATTGAAGAGGATGATGGTGTGGATGATGATGATGTGGTTGGTGTCGGTGGTGGTGTTGTTGAGGATGATGATGATGATGATGATGATGATGACGATGATGATGATGATGTTGAGGAGGACATGGACGACGATGCCGATGTCAACAACACCAATATTGGCAACGGTGTTGGCCGTGTGGGTCGACAAGATGCTGATGGTGATGGTGATGGGGATGGTGATGGTGATGATGATGATGATGTTGATGGTGGTACATCATCATCTGAGAGCGAGTCCACAACAACAACATCGCATTCAACTGGTGAGCGGCGTAATAAAAATAATAAAAATAAAAATAAAAAAGTAGTTGCATCAGCGGCACATGGCGCTGCCGCTGATCAGCCTAATTCCAGCTATACGTGTGATCTATGTCAACTTTGTTTCGATTCCCAGGAGCTACTGCAGACACATATTAAAAGTCATTTCCTCAATGGGCCATCGGCGGGGAGCAGCAGCAGCAGCAACAAGAGCAACGGCGCAAACAGGAGCACCAACATTAACAACAGCAACAGCAGTAACAAAATCAATACCAAAAAGTCCGGCTTGGATGCAACGAAGACAACAACAACAACAGTTAAGGCTGCTGCAGTAGCGGACGCTGCAACGGGCTTCAACTGAGCTCCACAAATGTACAAAAACAAAAACAAAAAGAAAACCACATCCAAACCACATCTAAACCACATCCAAACCACACACGCACACATCAAATACGCAACGCATTCCATCATCAAGAAAACACACAGCAACAACGACAACAACAACAACAACTATCGTCATGCAATCATTATCACTCACACACACACAAGCGCACACACACAGACGCACACCCACGCATATGTATAAAGAAAGTTCTGTGTGTGTATGTTAGTGTTGTGCAGCGCATAAATAACTCCATTTTTTTTTCTTGCTACTAAATTGTAGTTGCAGCAACAGCTGCAGAAAAACACACACACACACACACACGCACACGCATATTATGTGTATCCTGTATGTGTGTGTGTGCGTTAAGCCTACATATTTGATATGGTATAATACGTATACATACATCCATCATACATCATACATCATACATACAAATATGCATGCATATATAAATATGTGTACATTTCTTCATTTCATTTCAATTATTTTTTTTTATTTTTTACATGTTAAATTAGTTGGTATCACTGAAAAGAGCAGACGGAAAGTGTCTCCAGTTTTGAGTTTTAGTTAGTTAAGCTATACACACATACATACAAACATACATACCTATATAAGCATGTAGAATGAATACAAACAACATTATTTAAGAGAGGAGCTTGACGTGAAATTAGAATTGTCTGGCGAAGACGACGCACCAAAGCAACAACAAACCTTAGTAGAAGTGAGTGAGGGGAATGAAACAAATGCAAGTGGAAGGACAAACACACACACAACACACTTGTTTGATTTAGTTTGTTAGTTTAACATTAATTATATTTTATGTTTGAAATTTTTCGATTTTAATATCTGTTCTTTACCACCTGCCGCTGGGTTTAAAAAACCGATACTTCATTTTTTTTCTTTTAAATTTTTGTGTGTAATTATATATATATATATATATATATATATATGATTGATTTTATAAGTGCGTTTTCTAAATTTGAAATTATCTCAATGCATTTCCAAGTTGACAAACATTTGAAAGTCTGTTTGCGGACAGTAAATCGTTTTATTTCTTTCTTTCTTTCTTTTTTTTTTTAAATCTTTTGTGTTTTTTTCTAAGCTTTTGGCTAACTCTTTCGACTCGCATAGTTTTAGATTTATTAGACATGGTTTTTCACAAATTTAAGCATAAATTTACTTATTTCATTTCTTACACACACATATATACACCAAAAACGTATTGGCCGTCATAAATACTTGTTTAATGTCGAAACTCAATGAAAATGAGTTGCCAAATGAAATAATTCAGTTTTAGTTGAGAGATTCAGTTTTTTTGTATTTATTAAGTTCGCCAATGCGTTTTATTTGACTTTGGACACACATTACACATGAAGCAATCGTGTAATTTGAACTGAAAGAAAGGAAAAAAAAAAACAAAGAAAAAATGAGAAGAACGCATTTCTATCAAAAGTTAATTTTCGCCATACACACGCAGCATTAGCACTTTGCCCCATTTATATTTAGTATGTAATATGTATATTAATTATTTATATTTAATGATGCATTTCATAAATAATTCGTTTCATGCTACATTTATTATTCAAACCAATCATATTCGTATGTATTGTGTGAATACACACACTCACTCACACACACACACACACACAAACACATACACACTCATATATAAACAAAAAAGAAAGGAAGAAAACATAAAACAAAACAAATAGTGCATACAGCAAATGTTAATTACGCTTACGAATTAATTATTGCGATTGCGAACATACCTTTTACTTGTAAAATTATTTTAAGGTTTATGTATGTAATTGGAAACTAGTTTAAAACAAATAAAAAATAAGCATTAATGCAACAAGTGCATATGCATATGAATTGAATACCTTAAACGATTTGCATTTTATTTATTCGACATTTGAAAAGTTTTGAAGCGCGCCCAAGTTGCGATAACACTTGCGATGCGACACAATCGATACATGTCGATTGTCCAGCGCTACTGCAAGAATGCAAGTTGGAAGCTTAGTCCAGCCCCCCCACCCATTTTGATTGCAAAAAATAAACGGCTTCGTTTTCTGTGTGTAGCTCAATTCGTATTTGCACAGTTTATTAGTAAAATATCAATGCACATTTATAATTTTTTTTTTTGTTTAGCGCCAGTCTAATGCGGTTGCAATACTAGACTGATTTGTTATTGGCAGGCGGAGTGGCTCAGGCACACAAATCGAACTTTTGATTATTGAACTCTGCTATTTGGTCTGTGATTTTGTTTATGAGCTGTGTATTATAAAACGATTCAAAAGTTACGATAACAAACATCACATATATAATTGGTTGCAAAAACATTGCAATGAAAATAAGATAAAGCAAACAATTACAAAATGATAATAAGAGAACAGTGAACAGCCTGTCGTACAATGTTATCAAAGCTAATAGAAACTAATTGTGTATTCTAATACAAGGCGTTACATAAATACATACATATTATAATTTATGCCTTAAAAAGATATTACAACTAATTAATGGTGCAAGCGCGATTCGCAGATAGAACTTTTCCACAAAAAAAAAACAAAGAAAGGAGCAAACACTATCAATTTAAATCCATTTCCATTTTCTCTAGGAGTACTGTGTGTGTGGATTAACGCTCATCATTTCCATGTTGCTGCTGTATGTACCAGAAAGAGGACATAAAAGAAAGAGTGTGAGAGAGAGAGAGAGAGAGAGAGAGAGAGAGAGAGAGAGAGAGAGAGAGAACGTGTGTGAGAGAGAGATGAAGTATAATCATTAGTTATATATTTGACAATGAACAAGCTTTCTGTAATCATAGCTGACGCTGATATGTTTACTTATCGCGCACCAAATGATTGCTAAACTGGACAACGATAACGATAATGATGCGAATATGGGGGAACGGGAGTGGAAGTGGGAGCGGTCAGAGCGTCAACCTACCTACGACTGCAGCGCAGATGAATGAAGAGCAGCGCCAGTCCAAGCGTAACACAAATGCCACCCACAACGATATAGGCAATGCCCAGGAAGGGATTCTTTCCGCCCAGCACAGATGTGGTCGATAGAATCATGCGTTTGGTGCCATCAAACGAGACCACGGGATACTCTAAAACAATAACATCAATTTGTACATATTGTTGCTATGCATATCTATCTACATGGTACTCACTGTACTCTACATTCAACGTGTATTCACCGGCCTTGAGGCCACGTGAAAAGCTATTATTTGTTTGATCCAAGCGACGGTATAGCTTCCGAAAACTGGGCAGGGCAGCGGTGCGCATCCAAACGATTAGATCCTCGTTCTGGAAGCCATTGTTTTCCTCATTCGTTGGATCCAGTTCACTTAGGTTTTTCTGCCAGAAAATTGGCTTCTCAAATGCGGCTAGCGCTTCTCTTAAGTTACCTTCAGGATTACGGAACTTGACGCGCTTATCCGATGGCCATGCAATGCCCGTATTCAATAATTTAATTTCCGAGCTGCCTTGGCTCAGTGTGAGTGTGTCTGCAATCATAAACACACAAATATGAATAACAAAGAGTGTAATTTATATATGTATACTACTACCATTGAAAAGGGAATTGGCAATGGCGCCACATGGCGCTATGGGTTTGTCATTGTCCGCGTAGGCAAATGGGGTGCAATCCGAGCTAGGCGTTAGCGACAGGTGACCCAACAGCTGCTCGTCATCCCGTGATTTTACATAGCGTCGATGGTTCTGATAGTAATTGGTCAGGCCATAGTACATGTAAACATCGCCCTGCGTAAAACAACAAACAAAATGCGTGTTATTCCTATTACAAACACTTGCATATTTTGATACTTGCATTAAAGTCTTCAGTTAGATTAAAGTTAATCTTGCACAAACACTGTCCGCCCGTTGTGGCTTCCAAAAACTCGGCACAAGTCTTATTATTGCCCACCTGCATGCACCTGGTGTAGTCGATGATGAGCTCATTGGATGAATTGGAGAAATGCAGCAGGACCACCCCAATGGGAATGAAGAGCACACCGATCACAAAGAACGTGGGGAGAACTGTTCTTGCTGTCAACACGGGCTGCCAGGCGGGAAGGCGCTGTTGCTTGAACGCTGAATCTGTTCAACACAAACAAAAAGGGAATAAATAACCTATTTTGTATTGTAGTTTAAGAAGTGATTCATGGCTTTAGCTGCGGCTGCGTGTCAAAGGTTCTCCGCCCCAAAATATCGATCACATTTGTACATATTGGCTTGTTGGCAATTCCGTCATCATTTCAAGTGAAAACCAACTCTTTTTTTTGTTCGAAAAGGCATAAACATAAAGCAGTGTGTGTGTGTGTGTGTGTGAAACATGCAAAACAATTAAATAGTTTTGTTTAAAAGCATAAGTAGCATTTAGACAGAGGTAAACATGTTGTTAAATGCCACACGTAACATATTTTGTGGGCATATTAGAAAAATGATTTACTACAAGATTATCAAAAAATGTTAAGCTTTTTCAATGGCAGCTTTAAAAGTTATTAGTATTAGTCACTTTTTCATTTGTTATCAATAACACACACAACACACACGCACACTCATATATCACTTGAGCAGGGCCGAATTGAATCGACAACTTGTTACTTGAGTGTAGGTGTCCGTCTTATATGTAAAATGCACACAATTTTCACCTGAAGGTCGTTTCGACTTTGGGGCTGCGTTTTCCTCGTTTCCCACATTCTGCGTCGACATGGCGCTTTCAGTTTAAAACAGTGCAAATGACCGATGCGTCAAATGTTAAGGATAACGGGGTCGTAACTAGACCACTCGTCGCAATTTTGCTTCGCCAAATACGTAAATAATACAAGAAATTTCGCGTTTCAGAGCTGCTTATCGATATATGCATATCGATAAAAGCAAATAAAAATAAATACCAAAATTGCTGCATATAAATATATTAGCACTAGCCTAATATCGAATATAAATGTAATACTTTTCAGGGAAAAACGTTATAATTGAAAGGTTAGAAGAAAAAAAAAAAACAAATGAAGTACTCATTAAAAGCAACGTCAAATTGCGCATTTACATTATTCGTATTGGCAAGTCAAAATATTCCATATAAATTGTATATCGATGCATCGGCTTATGGTTAATTAGAGTCTGAAAGTTGACTCTGGAAAACATGTTGCGTATTTATTTTGTTTTATTTATTTGTATTTGATTTTAGATTAAAATTGAATGTTGCATACCATTTTGGCTAACTAGCCAGTATACCTGTCCCTGCACAGAAGGAGAAAAAGAGAAGAGAATATCATCGCATGCATTAGCATATATCGCAGCACATATCTAGCGGCAGCGTTCCGTCAAAACAACAAAGCATAGTCAAAAAAAAAAAAAAAACGAATGAACGCAAAAGAAACGTGAAAAGAAGAAACCGACGACGAACTACAAAATTCAAACGCATTTATTAATTTGCGCTGTACTGGAAACGTGTGTTTTTGCGACAGCCGCAAAATAAGCAGTACTCTTTTTGCTCAGGGAACCCATACACTGTGCTCACAACTTCAACTTTAATTCAAATTTATTGTACCCTCGGCAAGGGTTCTACAAAAAACAAAAAAAAAAAAAAGAAGAAAAACACTGTAATTGATAATTGTTGAGAGAATAACGCCGCCGCCGACGCTGCTAACGCTGCCGCAACTGCCACCGCGATGAAAATCACCGTGACGACCACCGATGATAAGATTTTCTGTATAGATGTCGCCGAAGATTTGGAGCTAGAAGTGCTAAAGACAATATGTGCCAACGAAATTGGCGCCGAGGTCAGCCTAATAATGGTGCTCTTCAATGGCCGCGAGCTGACCAACGACAAGCAGACGCTGAAGGATTTCGGTATGCGCGATAGCGACTGCATTGTGCTGGAGCGTCGACGTTTAACCTCCAATCGCACAGGTGAGTGATAGGCACACCCCCTACTACTAACGCCCGCCCGCCCATCCATCACTCGCATTGGTTTACAAGATGCGCGCGTCGTGCTAACTGCTAAGTGGGTCATTGCACCCGCTCTAGGCCGCTGCTCCTGGCCAGCGGTGTGCAATATTAAAAACAGAAGTGTGCTGCATAGTAAAAATAAAAATATGTTGTTTCTTTCTTTGCATATTACTCAGTCTCCGTGTATACGAAAAATGTGTTGCTGTGTTTTTTCCACATTCCAAAGCTATGCAGAATACATAAAAAAGTAAATGGAAACACACACACACACAAAAAACAATTACATACACACATATACAGGCATGTGCATATGCAAATGTTGATCTGATTTTGATAATTCAGCTGTTATCGATATGCGCATAGCATAGAGGTAATCGTATCCATGCACACTGCTGCACATGATTCAGGTGATGACCCCATGCGCGATTGGCCTAGAGGCTAACATATAGAAAATACGTATAAATATATATACATATATATACATATATACAGGTATATATATATATATATATATACAGGCAGCCATTCTGTTGTATACCCTTGTGGCGAGTATTATGATTTTGTCGTGCAGCTCGTAACGGAAGGGGACAAATTTTCTACTCCATGGAGTAACCATGTTGATCTTGATCAGCATCATTAGCCGCTTCGTCTGGGGTCAGATCGGAGCACAATGTCATCAGATTAACTAACTCCGGTTAGTTGCTCCGAGGGTATTTAGGATCTATGACAGGCTTTTCAATTGTTCTCAATTAGCTTCAAAATGTGTACGGCAATTTCTCAATTCATTTTATTTACGATTTGCTTTTTAATTATTCGAATTTATGAAATGGTCATGTGCCAGTGTGGCCAGTGTGCATTGTCCGAATTGTTCATTGTTTCCACAGATGCATATATATATAAATATATATATTGGTTTGGTTTTTGAGCGTAGGCGCACGCAAATTGCCATCGCTTTTAATTTCCAGTCGCTTTCTGCGTTATTATAATTATATATACATATATGTATATATTTTTTTATTTACTTTGTACGTGGTACCTGAAGTGGGTGTCATACATATATTGCATGTAGCATGAATATGCATTTTTTGCTATTCTTTGTTCTTGTTTTTCTTGTAGATAGATTAAATGAATGTCTACAATGAACTTTATGCCCGATATAAGTAAATCTTTAATTACAAATAGAATTTATTTAATTGCTGTTGTTATTTAACTGTTTAATTGAACGCAGGTTTAGGTGGCAACAATCCATCGATTAGTCATCTGGACTTTAGCAGCATCGCTGTGCCCGGTGCGAGCACATCGAGCGGCAGTCCGTCAACACAACAAAACGCTGGCAGTGGCAGTGGTACGCCTGGTTCGGTTAATATGCAGCAGCAGTTGCAGCAGTATCTGGAACAGCTGCAGCAACCGTTCGCCGACATACCACTGACAGATGAGTTCAATGTGAACTGGGACGATGATCCGGCGCTGGTGCGTCAAATGTTCTTGGCTAGCCCAGAGACGCTGGCGCGGCTCCGACAATACAATACCAAACTAGCCGAAGCCCTCGACTCGGGCAATACGGAGGCATTTGCAAAGGTGCTCCGCGAGCAAATTAGTGATCGGAAGCGTCGCAAGGAGCAGCATCAGCGTATGCTCAATGCGGATCCGTTCAATGAGGCCACTCAGCGACTAATTGCCGAGCAGATCAGGGAGAAGAACATTCAGGACAATATGGCAGCAGCCATTGAATACAATCCAGAAATCTTTGGCACTGTCACAATGCTGTAAGTATTTATTATTATCTTGTCACATTCAGTAGTAAACAAGAGAGAACGTTGAAGTCGGGCGTAACCGACGGCGAAATACTTTGATACCATAACTAAAACCAGCTAATAACAGGTAGCAAAGAACAGGTTGGGTGTAGCCAGGAAATACTGTCCAAATTTGCATTTGAAGAAGAGTTTACCAGTTATCGTCCTCCCAAGTTTAGTAACTGTAGCTCTTAAATTTTGAGAGATATGCGCTTTTATCGGTTTTGGAGGCGTGCAATAAACCTTTCAAATTTGGTGACTAGCTTTCAAAATGTGTGAGATATATTGTTTTTATCGATTTACAGTAACAGCTGTATCGGTTTGGGGAGGCAGAGTGCGCGTAGCCATCCAATTTTTCTTTTTATCGATTTCTGAAGGGAGTTACCAGTAACCCACTTCCAAAAGCTTACAAATTGGGGAAGGCATTTCATATTTCTAGGGTCAAAGTGCGCAGGGAGAACCAATATACTATGATATACCTTCGGTATCAAAGGTTAAATACGTATTGATCACAATTTGGATGCCATTAATACAGCTACATCAACTGCAAGGTGAATGGGACACCTGTGAAGGCGTTCGTCGACTCTGGTGCACAGACGACCATCATGAGCAAGGAGTGCGCGGAACGATGCAATGTGAATCGGCTTCTCGATACCCGCTGGAACGGCATTGCCAAGGGTGTTGGCACACAGCCCATTCTTGGACGCGTTCACATGGTCCAGCTGCAGATTGATAATGATTATTTAACGTCCAGTTTTACGGTGTTGGGCCAGCAGCCCATGGACATGCTATTGGGCCTGGACATGCTCAAGCGGCATCAGGTGAGTCAAAAAAAATCACAAATATAATAATAATAATGAAATTCTCTTGTCTGAGATTGAGATCAGCCAGTAGTGAATTATATACTTACACAACTGGACACAGAAATAGGTGCGAAGACAATAATTAGTGTATTTTCTTTGTAATTTCTTGCTCAAAATAAAATAAATAAATAGAACTAGTTGCGTGTTGCATGAAATGAAGAAAACTTGTATTTATCGATTGATTTGGTTAGCAAAATGAGTCGATGACATCACTGCAGTTGTCGTTGTGAGGAGAGAAGAATTGTGCGTAGGCTCCAAGATCAAGGAACAAAAAATGGGTAAACGAAGGAAACTTCATCAGAATCAATAACTGCTTAGTTAGTGCAAAGTTAGCTAGCAGAATATCCAGTAAAGTTCGGGGATCAGAGGGTGCCAAAAGAAATGACACAATATTTTCCAGAATGATGAAAATCAAATAAATAAATTGACGATGTTAAAAGCAACGTTTGTAATCGAAATGAAATTAAAAACAAGCATTGCATCCAGAAAGTTATTGTCCTCGCACCCACTTTACTGCTCTGGTGTGTATGATCCTAAAGATCTCATCTAGAAATACTCTTGTAGCTATACAATTTGCAATTGTTATACACGAATATCGTTTTGATTGCAGTGCCTTATTGACTTGCAACGAAATCTGTTGATCATTGGCACCACAGGCACCTCAACGCCATTTTTACCGGAGAGCGAGCTGCCGCCATGCGCCCGCCTCACCCGGAATCCGGAGGAAAACGAACGTCAGGCAATTGCCCAGGCAATTGAGCAGAGCAAACGTGAAAGCGGTGAAGCCAGCACCAGCGGCAGCAGCAGCAGCACCACCACCACCACTGGCACTGGCACCGGCAGTACCGGCAATGTTGGCTTTAATGTAAATAATATGAACGCTATACAGCCGCTGGATCGTTTTACGGAACAGGATGTGAGTGACCTGATGGAATTGGGCTATCCGCGCAGCGATGTGCTCACTGTACTAAGACTGTGCAATGGCAACAAGGCGATCGCCAGCTCAATGCTATTTAGCAGCCGCAATGCAGCCGCTGGCAGTGGCGGGCTCAGCTGAACGCTGGAACGCTCCGTGTTGCTGCTACTGCTGCTGCTCCGTCACTGCTCTGGGATCAATCAAATCAACCATCATTTTGCAATAATAAGAGAAGTCAACACCACCACCACAACCACGATCACGACCACCACCACAACGATGTCAGTATCAATATCAAGGCAATTTTCGAAATATGCTCGACTTTAACAAAATTTACAGTATTTGTTTAGACCAATTTTAAATACAATATTTTGTTTACCTATTGCCTTGTGCAATAATTAATTGATCGATTGATCGTCGAGAATTTTCAGCTTTAAACTCACCTCAATCCGTTAATATCTTTGTGTTCTTGTTTTTGGTTTAACACAAAATTAATTAATTCGAAACTTGATATCAATCTGTATAAAACAATGCCACTGGATTGAAAAATAGCCGCAGCAACGAAAAACCGAATTGGGTAAACTTTATACACACGCATCTAATATTAATTATACACATTATATACACACATCTAAGTGTATATATATATATATACAAATGTATATTCATTTATACAATTTGAGATAGTATTGAGACTTAACACTATGTAATTAAGTACGAAAGTGAAATGGTTAAATAAAATGAGTATTGTTTTTGGATTGGAATTGAATGAAAAGCTTTTCGAACAATTGTGGATAAATCAACTTTCAGCTATGCAGTCCCATTTCATTTAATATGTGTCTTCGATCTTGCTCACCTATCAAATATACCAGAAATAAGCAGTTTTTTGCCAGAGCCTATTGCAAATTCAAGTATAAGGATTCTTTTTCTTTCTTTTTTTGTGGTTGTTGAACAATTTCCTTTTTAATTTTATTAAATATGTATTATTGGATTATGCTTCAATGACATCGTTATTACAGTTTTTGTCGCCAATGATTGATTGATTGATTTAACTAGTCACTTAAGATTTTCCTCTGTTCTATTGTTTTTATCTTTCTTCACACACACACACATACACACACACACACACTCCTCCCCCGTGTGCGTATACAATATATATAAATATATATATATTTATATACATATACATGTATAATGTACATTTTGATTGCTAGATGTTGTTGCTGTTGTTGTTGTTGCTGTAGGCTGAGGGTGAACTGATGTTGCTTCTACTCTTCGTCATCGTCTTCGTCGTCGTCATCTTCAGTGGGACGCGAGGCGTTTTTGTGATTGAACTCCTTCTCGGGATCAAACTGCATACCCTCCTGATCGGCGGCATCCTCCTCATCATCATCGCCAGCCACTTGAGCGTTCTCTGCCTCGGCGCGCTCCAGGCGACGTGCCAAATCGGCCTCATCGATGGCCGTAACCAGTTTGGGTGCCATTATCACTTTGAATTCGCCCTCGAACTCGATAATCTTGGCGCGTATACTCTCAATGGCCACCTCCAGAGCCTTTAGCCCATCTGTCTTCTTTGTGGTGGATGTGGTCATCACATAGCTGTATGCATACATATATAAATATATCTATATGTAATTGAATTTGAATTGAACTTACAGTGGCGGCGCTATCAGATTGATGCGTATGGGCAGTTCCTCGGTGCTCAGCTCGAGTCCTTTGCTGAGCGACGCTTTGACGGCATCGATGCCCTCGTAGCCATAGCACGAGCACTCGATATCGGCGCGTATTTTCACCGTGGGCGAGACCAGTTTGCGTTTAATATTGCTCAGCAGCACTTCCTTCGTCTCCGCATCCAGGTTGCATTCATCGAACACTGACGGATCTGTCACCGATTGCTTAAAGATGTCGTACGCAACCGTTTTGCTATTGTATTTCTTTTCAAAATACCAGGCGGTCTTCTGGTAGAGTTCCTCCAACTTCTCGCTGCTGTCGTAGCCCAAAATGTCGGCAACATGACGCAACAATGAGTTGATTGCCTTCGCCTTAGCAAATCGCTCCGTGCACTTCTCGACATCCTCGGGGGAAACGCGACGCTTGGATAGATCAATGTAGCCCTTCTCCTTATCCACACGGATGACAACAACCGGTTCTGTTTTGCCCACACGTATCAATTTGTTAATGGAACGTATGCGACGACGCGACAACTCCGACAGCAAAATCATGCCCTCAATGCAGTTGTACTCCAGCAAATGGACGTAAGCGCCCATTTCGGCTATTGAGAGCACGTTCACCATGACGACATCTTCAATTTCCGGATATTTTTCGTTGTAGTATCTCGAGGTTAGTGCCATTTTGCTTGTCCACTTTTATTTTGGAAATTATGTTTGTGGCAAAACGTAAACTGAAAAGAAATTGCAGCAAAAAAAACGTGTACAATTCTGCCGAAACAAGGCGTAAGAAGAAGCTAGCTAGCGGCCAACAGAGTTGGTCAACGAAGCATTGAATGAGTGTCTCGGGCGGCGAATTCGCATCGATCTATCGATAGTCAATGTGCAGCCAGCTTTTCAGCAAGGCTACCGCAGCAAATAAAATGATTTCCGTTAATTGCTTAAATCGAATCAATAAATTCGTATCGTATTGCATAATTTGTATTATTTAAATCCGCATTTAATGCAAACAATCGATAGGCCTATGATGTTGTCATTCTGCGGCTTTAGTGTTGATTAATGCCAAGTACACATTCGGCGAATTGGTAAGTGTTGCTCATGGCTACATCTGGGTTTTATTGTTGGCTACGAGATTCGTCTTTGATTTCGACATATGCGGAAATATTTATGCAATTTTAATTCATTTTTATGTTGACAGTCCCTTAGCATTTAGTATATGACAATTTCAGTGGATGGGTGTACTCCCTTGAGCCGCCAATATTTGGTGTGTACACACTGGAGAGCGTGCACACGGCGACAAACTTGGTAGTCAGTCTGTGGATTGCAGCGAATTCGCTCATTTGAAAAAAATAAAACATGGCTGGAAGAGGTGGTTATGAACACGCTAGGTAAATATTATTAAATAATTTAATAACTGTGCGGGTCAGCTCGACGAAAATGTGTGAAATCGATGGAAGTGCAATCGCAGCATCTGTCCCACAACAACTCGAAATGTGCTCCAATGTAAAATAATGCACGCGGTTTAAGCAAAAGTCAACCAACACGCACACACAAACACACTCACACACACACACACACGCGCGGAACACAAACACACAAAACCCTAAAAATGTACATGCATGCATACGTGCGTGTGACTGTGAGTGTGTGTGTTTGCAAGTGTGCGTGTTTTTTTTTCTCCTATATTTCTTTTTCTTTGCTATTTTTTTTCGGGCAATTTGATGCGCTGTCGCCGACGACGTTGCTGGCGACGCTGACGTCGGCGGTATGCGATTTGCCTTTGGCGCATCATTAACTATGAAAACAGCGCCAGCGCTGCCAATGGGCGGCTCGACGCGGAGTTCTGCACACAGCTCCTTTTTTTTTCTGTGCTATTTTTTATTTATTTTTTTTTGCCGCAAATATTTAAAAAGCGCGCGCTTTTTTGTTGTTTTTATTGCAACTGTTGTCTGCTTAAGACGCCGCTCCGCTTTTGTTATTGTTGATGTGTGCTTGTTGTTTGAGCGGCAACTGTTTTTGTTTTGTGTTTTTTTCTCTATTTTTTTTTTGCGTCGAGTGCGTTTGGCTCCGGTTCGCAGACACGTGCGTTTAAATCACAGCCGGGCCGGCGAATGCTGCATTGTTGTTGTTTGTATTTTGGCCACTAATTTAGTTATTTTCGTATTTCTATTTGACTTATTTTAGAGGTGGATTTGGAGGCGAACGGCATGTGAAGCAATTGCCGACGGAACCGCCATTTATTGCGTACGTGGGCAACTTGCCGCAGGGTCTCGTCCAGGGCGATGTTATGAAAATATTTAACGATTTCGAAGTGAAGAATGTGCGCCTGGTCAAGGATCGGGACACGGACATGTTCAAGGGCTTCTGTTACGTGGAGTTCGAGACGCTCGACAATTTGGAGCGTGCACTCGAGTGCGATGGTCGCATTAAACTCGATGATCTTTCGGCCCCGCTCCGCATAGATATTGCTGATCGTAGGAAAAATGAACGGTAAATATAACTCTCTCTCTCACTCGCTCTCTGTATCTCTCTCTCTCTCTAATTGTGTATGTGTGCATTTTGTTTGTTTTTAGCCCTGGCGGCGGCGGCATTGGCGGCGGTGGTGGCAACGGCGGCGGCATGACCCGAGATGGCAACCGCGATGGCTTCCAGAAGCGCGGACCACCCCGCCAGGGCGGCACGAGTCAATCGTATAGCCGAGGCGGTCCCGGCACCGGCGGCGGTCGCGAGGCCGGCGGCGGCTCTGGTAATCGCGGCGATAGTAGAGGTTCGTACAATGATAATTATGGTGGTCACAGTGATAGAAGTCGTGGCGTCGCCATCTCCGGCATGAATAGAGGATACAATGGTAAAGCATTTTTATCTGCCACGCAAGTGCAACAACCTCTTACTACAAAACTTCAGCAACACGTAGTAGATGCATCTTTGTAGTTCGTGCCCCAAAAAATTCGTACCAAAAAACAAAATCGAAAATATAAAAAAAAAGCAAATAAAAAACTGTAGTTGATTGCAAATTCGCCAAATTCGCATGGACAAAAAAAGAAAAACAAAAAGAAAAAAAAGTAAACCTGAAAAGAACAAATAATTCGCGTGCCCTTAAAGCGGCCAGCATCTGCCACATCTTTGATTAATATTAAGACGCCTTTCGAACTTCATTTGCCACACTTCTTTTTGCCGATTTTCAGTTTCATGTTGAAATTTTCCCCTAATCTCGTTTATTTTCGCATTCGCTCGTAACTGATGAGATCTTGCATTTAATTCGATTTTGATTTCTGTTGTATTCTATTTTGAAGCACTTTCGAGCAAATCACAGTTGATAATCCCATCGAATTTTGGTCATCATTAGACATATTAAATATATAATGTTTTACAAACAAACCGAGATCATTTTCGAACTACAATCACCCAACATATCTTCGAGTGTCCACTGCATTTCTCTTTCTTTAATTAAAATTCTTTTGTTATTGTAAATATGATTTTTAATATTTTTTTGTTTTGTTTTTGGGTTTGTTTTTCTTTGGGTTTCTTTTATGCCGGAGCGGTTTATTTGATTATCGTCAATTATTGTTCGATATTTATTTACATATGCACCACTTCAACATATATACATGTATATATAAGTAATGATCTAGATATTTAAGGTTTTAGTTGACTTGAAATGCATTTTGTAGCACGCTTCACTGGGCCCGCATGATGCCCCATTCAAAAGTTAAAACTATGCCGTACAAAAGTCCTTTGCCACATATAATGCCTACTAATAAATAAACATATAATATTATATATATATATATATATACCTTTATATATATAATAAAATATATACATACGCACATATGTATGTACATATAGTTATCGCATATATATATATATATGATATATGTATGATTCACAATATGGAATATTTTTGCAGATCGCCCGGGCAAATCGCGGCCGTTACGGCAATTTCAATAATGACGAACGATTCGAACGCAATCAGGATCGTGACCGTGGTCAGCGCGAGGGCAGCTATGGCAATCAGTCGCGCGACGGCGATCGCTACAACAACTTCAGCCGGCATCGGGACCGCGAGCGTACCCACTACAATCCCAACCAGCAGCACTCGCAGCAGCCGGAACGACCCAGCGGCGGTGGCGTTGCAATGGGTGCTATCGGTAACAAACAATTCAATAATTATCCAACATTCCAACCATCCAATCATCCATCCATCCATCCATATGCCAATCGAAAGCAGATGCTAAAGCTAATCAATTTCATATCGATATTGTTGTTTGCAGATGATACGGAGCGGCCACGACTGCAGCTTAAGCCACGTACCATTGCGGCGCCCATCAATGCGGTGGCTGAAACCAAACAATCGGCCTCAATTTTTGGCAATGCCAAGCCGCGCGAGGAGAAGCTCAAGGACCTACAACAGGATATCGATCACAATGGCGATAATTAGGCCGTATTTTGGTGTCTTTCATATGCCCAAACGATATTTAAAACTAAACAAAACTTAACAAAAAAAAGATAAAAGATAAAAGAAACAGAAACAAAAACAAGAACAGATAAAAAACAATCGTGAAAAGAGAAGAGAGAACAGTAAATGAAAATTTAAATGATAGGGGCATATATCATTTGTGTGTGACAGAATAAAAGAGAGAAAGAAACAGAAACAGAGAGAGAGAGAAAGAGCGAAAGAGAGAGAGAGAGAGAGCGAGAGCGAGCGGCATGCATATACATACATATATGAGAAGAAGACGGAGGTGGAGAAGGAGGAGGTGGAGGAGAAGACGGCAGAAACCAGAAGAAAAAGCAAAACATAATTAATAACACCTACGCTATATATATATATACATATATATATATATATATCTATATATATATATCTCTATATATATATATATATCTATATATATATGTGTATATAAATGTGTGTGTATATATATACTTTATACAAAAAGCTATGTACTATGCATACATAATAATACATATATATAACATTTCGGCTGTCAGCCGACTCAACAAAGCATAATAAACAAACCTAAACAAACAAAAAAAAGAACAACAAACAACAAACAACAAACAACAACAACAACAACACCAATCAGCAAATAAACGAAAATTAGGAAATGTTTTTTATACTCCCCCCCCCAATGAATAATGTTGCGAAAAGGAGCAAAACTAATAACAACAACAGCAGGAACAACACCAACAACAACAACAACAACCACAATAACAACAACCCCAACAACAAAAGCATAAACAACAACAACAACAAACAACAACAATGGAAAGTCTTTAAATGTTAGTCTGTAAGAAGCGGTTACGCTAGAGCCGTGCATGTAGCTATGCTATATACGTATAGACCATATGTGTATGTGCGCGCTGCTATTTGTTAGTTAAGTAATGCATATACAAACCAACAAAAACGTTCTACCATTTAAGTAAAAACAAAACAAACAAAAAAACAAAGCAAAAAAAAAAAAACGACAAAAAAAAACAAACTAAAATTTGACAAGCGTTCAGCGTTAGCAGGCAGGCAGTTTATACAGTTTATATAGCAAAAATACAAGAAAATACTAAAAAAGCGAAAAATCCTAAACAAAAAATAAAAAAAAAAACAAAAACAAAAAAAACGCATTGAAAATATAAAACACCAACTACGTACGTATTATACAAAAAAAAGAAGGAACTATAACAAAGCAAACAAAAACTTTGCATATATATATATATATATATATATATATATATATATACAACAAATTATAAATAAATATATATATATATATATATGAATGTAATCCGAGCGAAAGTCTTCGTCGAGAATCAAATCTGAGCACAGTTCTTGAAATCTTTTCTTTCTCTCTTTTGATTGTAAAACTTTTCAAAATTAATTTTTTTTTTTTTTAATTAAACTTTTTGTTGATCTATTTTCGTAATACTCTTGTTGTCGACATAAATTGGCGAGCTGGATCAGGGATCAGTTCTTACATAGCTTGAGAGACAAAGGAAAGGGACACGACGGCGGCGGCGGCGGCATTGATATACTACAAAATGTTTTTTTTTTTCTTGTCCATGTTTACAATTGAAATACGTGGGGCAAGCATGTTAGTTAAGCGAGATAAATAAATTAGTTATATATATTTTTATTTTTATAACCATTACCCATTAAAAATTTGTTTAAAAATTGTACAAATGAAGTTGGGCAAATGTATGTTATGTGCAACAGGCAGAAGGAAACATTTCCAATCCAATTAAGTAACCGATTCAATATTGATTTGTCCGTCTGTCTGTCCATCGCTCCGTCCGTCCGTCCGTCCGCCCGTCCATCCATCCCTGCTGGAGACACGCAATCAACGTGAAAAATTGCTGATGTGTAAATACTTGATGGGGTACGTGATATCTCCTAGTCGAGCTCTTTTGTCAAGGACACTCTTCTTTTGCTATGGTCACTTGGCTGGCCGACTGGCGACAAGGACGAAAGGCCGATTTTCAGTACATTCATCGATTAAATAATTTCTTTTATTTCATTTTCTTTTGTTTTCTTTTTTTTTTTTGTACATTTTTTATTCATGCGCCAGAGTTGTGTAAATTGATTTAAGAATAAAGGCTAAAACATTGGAATAAGACCATTTTGCAAGCGTTTCGTTCTTACCGTATTGAAAATTGCGTTTCTTCTCAATGCTGCCAATATTTTCGAGTCGTTTTTTTTCAAATTATTTACCTTCGAATTTCTCTTCGGTTGGATCATATACTTGCGTACACACCTGAACCCTACCCCGCACACACACACACACACACACACAGACACATCATATGTATAGACTGAGGTAATAATCTGTCGTGTTGTATTCTCCGACATTTTGAACATTTGCATATGCTCTTTTTTTATTTCAGATAAATACATACATAGTACATAAATATATGTTTTTGTTTGCCGGTTGGGAGAACGACTGTCGCACAATTTATTTTTTGCCTATCTTTCACACTAAGTGCATAAAAAATATAATAAAAATAAAAAAAACGTAAAGAAAATACTCTGAAAGTCGTGCGATAAAACTGTTACGTGTTTTGGAGTATCGCCGGCGTTTTCTGCGGCCTATATTAAAAACATTTATCAACGTAATTGTACATTTTTTTTTATTTTTATTTTTTTATTTCTTTTTCTTTATTAATTTTGTACCATAGAAAATAACGAAATAAATTTAGCAAAGACAAAAAATTGAAAGAGAAATGGGGGAAAACCCTAACAAAAATATTCAAAAAGGCGATAACGTAACCGAGCACGCAAAATGCAAGCTAAATACATATATACATAAAAAAAAAGTAAACTTTTTTATAATTTTAGCTCTAATATTAAACAAAGTCAAAGATTTACCTACTATAAAGCGTAGACAAGCAAGTAGCAGCGGGCAAGTAAGCAAGAAGATGAAATGTGGAACACAAAAAAAAAAAAACAAAACAAAAAGCATAAAGTAAATAAATAATAATAATAATAATAAAATAATTAAAAGTAATATATGTATTTAATTAACATTTAAAGTCCCATCCAGAACGCAAGCAACGTAAAGTTTAAATTTATTGAAATTAACAAGAAAATATACCTATCCGAAGTACTACTATGTATGTAATTAAGAACTTTGATATGCATTTTTAATGACGCCCAGTATAACAAATTTATGGAACATTTAAGCAAAGTGGAAAAAAAAAGCAAAAACTGAAAACTGAAAACATAAAAATAAACAAAAACAAAAAACACAAGAAGAATTTATACAAAGCAAAAGTAGCTGTTAACATACATACGTCATTCATAAATAGAAATATGAATATATATATATATATATATATATACATATATATATATATTTATATATATATACGTATACATATGTATGTGCATGCATATGTATATACACATAAATATTAAATACTTAATGACAAATTGAGCGCAGTGGCTTAAGCTATTCGCAAACCATTACAAATACAAAGTATAGCAATTAATAATCTTAACAAGGCAACAATTTCTATAAATTATTTAATTAGCGAAACGAATTAAAGCTCGAAACTAAAATAGCAACAACAAAATTAAAAACAAAACAAAAACAAAAATAATAAAAAAATAGTTTCATAATCCAAATCTAACGAAATCCAAACACGCTTCCTTCAACTAAAGCTGAGGAACAGTTAACAAGAAAAGCAACAATTCAA